ATCAAAATTCAAATGACAGTTTTTTGCAGTAGAAAAACTTATCCTAAAAATCATATGAGATCCCAAGGGACCCCTTGAGATGGCCAAAACATTCTTGAAAAAGAACAAAATTGGAGGCCTCACACTTCCTGATTTCAAAACTTACTATAGAGCTACAGTAATCAAAACACTGTGATAATAGCATAAAGACAGACATACCAACCAATAGAATAGAATACAGAGCCCAGAAATAAATCTTTTATTTGTATGGTCAAATGATTTTCAACAAGGGTGCCAAGGTCACTCAATGGGTAAAGGACAGTCTTTTCAACAAATGGTGTTGATAAAACTAGGTATCCACATGCAAAAAAGTGAAATTGGACTCTTACCTAACACCATATGTGAAGTAAAACTCAAAAGGGGCAAAGATCTAAACATAAAAGCTAAAACTATAAAACCCTAAGAAGAAAAACATAGGGGAAAGCTTCATGACATTGGATTTGGCAGTGATTTCTTGGATATGCCTTGAATACCAAGGCAACAAAAAAAAATAGGTAATTAGACTTCATCAAAATTAAAAACTTCATGTATCAAAAGATACTCTCAACAGAGTGAAAAGCAACCCACAGAATGAGAGAAAATATATGCCAATTATGTATTCGATAAGGGGTTAATATCCAGACTCCCACAACTAAACAACAAAAAATGATTTTAAAAAGGACTACAACAGACTTTCCTCTAGAGAAGATAAACAAATGGCCAATAAGGACATGAAAATATGCTCAATATCACTGATCTCTAAGGAAAAAAATACAAATCAAAACCACAATGAGCTATAACCTCACTTCACACCATTAAACTGCCGAAGGAACATAAATTAACAAGTGTCAGCAAGGATGTGGGGTAACTGGAACCCTTGTGCATTGTTGGTGGGATTGTAAAATGGTGAAACCATTACAGAAAATGGTATGGTAGTTCTTCAAAATTTAAAATAGAATGACCATATGATCCAGCAATCCCACTTCTGGGTATATGCCCAAAACAATTAAAAGCATTGAAAAGGTATTTATACACTCATGTTCATAGCATCATTATTCACAATAACCAAAGGTAGAAGCAACCCATGTGTCCACCCACCAAAAAAGGAATGGATAAAATATGGTATATACATCCAGTGGAATATTTTTCAGCCTAAAAAGTAAAAAGGAAAATCTGCCCTTGACCAGTGGCTTGATTGATTGGAGTGTCATCCTGGTATGCCAGGGTTGCAGGTTCGATCCCCAGTCTGGGCTCATAAAAGAATCAACGAATGGGTGAACAGCAAATCGATGTTTGCCTCTCTCTCTCTTTCTCTCTCCCTCCCTCTCTCTCTCTCTCTCTCTTGCCCCCTCCCCCCCACTTCCTCCCCCCCTCTCTCCCCCACTTCCTCTTTCTCTCTAAAATCAATAAATAAGTGGGAAAAAAAAAAGGAAAATCTAATACATGCTACAACATGGACAGACATTGATGACAATGTACAAAATGAAATAAACCAGCCACAAAATGAAAAATTTTCTATGATTCTACTTTTATGAGGTACCAAGAATAGTCAAATTCATACAGATATAAATTAAATGATGGTTGCCAGGCACTGCGGGGAGGGGAGACTAGGAAGTTGGTTGATGGTACAAAGTTTCAATAAAAGTTCTGGGGATGGGTAGTGGTGATGGCTATAAAACACCGTGAATGTACTTAAGTCTGTAGAACTATCCACTTCAAATGGTTTAAACAGAAAACTTTACTTATGTATATTTTACCACAATTTTTAACAGATTTTTTTTACAAGAGGCGGATACATGCAAACCCTCATAACTAATCAGGAAATCAAGTAACAACTAACTGTCCACTAGATGTTGTGTTAAGGGGTTAATTCACTTTTAATGTTCAACTACTGATTCTAAAACATGAAGTGTTTAAACCTCTAATTATATATTATGTAAACAAGTGGTCAGTTCTAGGTGATAAGTTTTTAACAAGGCTAGAATTTTACATAAAATATCCATCCACCTATTGACTGTATGAAGCACATGTTTTTTGTTTATACTCACGTCATTCATTGATTAGTGTTCATTTTATTTAGTAATTGGGATGTGGAAACAATATTTTTAAAATAGTTGCATTTTTAATGTATTTGCATATTACCATCGTAATTAAGATCTCTGCCACATTCTAAAGTAAAAACACATTTATTATAGATTTTAAATCAACAACACAAAAAAAAAACTTTGTTTGTAATTATCTAGTTTCTATGCATTGAAATTGTATAAAGAAATTCTAATAAAAAAGGAATTTACCAGACAACAATGATTGGTCCTTGGCAAGTAATACCATCTTTTCAGAAAGGACCAGTGTAGATACCTAAAATGTTATAAAACTTTAGTCAGCTTAATAAACATTTGTTCTGACTTTTTTTTCCTTTTGTATTTAACACATAAATATCCATTGTTAAACAACAGTATTTTTCTGACATTTCCTTTCATGATGTAATGACAACAATTAAAGAACTGGTAGTCGTGACACCTATAACTTGTGATGAGAACAGTGGTCAGGTCCAGCAAAACAAACCAAACTTTGCAGCTTTTTTGTTTCTTTGGAGAAAAGATTCTGAATCATTTTTAGATTAAATTTTGATAATACATAAGGTGAACTTAGGTCTCAGTGGCAATTTAAACATATTTAAAGTATTCTTTTAAGATTTTTAATGTATTGTTCAATCTACTGTGAAACAAAGTAAGTGTAGTCTTTTTATTGCTTGGATAGTCTCTTAATCGTTTTTGGAATACTGGCATTTCAGAAGCATTAATATCTAGATTTTTACATTTTTTTGGTAACCCTAGCCACTAAGATACTAACATCTAGATATGATCCAGGGTTTTCTGGAGGGTCCCTCCTAAGACACATAAAAAAGACTGGAAAAATCTAAAGCAGAGTTTAGACATTTCTCCCTTTTAAACCAGAGTTTATTTTCAGATTAGGCAAAGTTAATCACTGATATCTCTATTGAGTTATTCTTGTGTTATGCTAGAGTTTGGTTTTCTGGATAGCGAAGTCACACTGAAATACCAAAAGACCTATTCAGATGAGAGTATCAGTAGTCAAGGCTGAAGTCAATTAGGCAGAGTCTAGAAATAATAGGCAAAATATTTTCATAAATACTGCGGTTAATACCACATTCAGGCCTCCCGGGTTACTTTTCAGATTTTTAACACTGACTGCTTTCAAATGCATCATTATTATCAAATCAGCCAGTGGGGCCTGGACTGGTAAAATAGCTTGCCAGGTTAGTAGACTTTATCTGCAAGGAAATATATACATTTACAATTCAAATATTTGATTCTACTTCATACACCAGTTATTTAATAGCCAAGGAGTGTTTTTCCCCTGTGTGAAAATTGACCCAGAGATAACTATCCTCATTTCCTAAAACTGTACAAAGTGAAAGGAAAATAAATAACATAAAATCCTATCATTTAAAGTGGTGATCAGCAGGCTGTCATGTTTCACTTCGTCTCAGCGGTTCATTGAGGAGCTGGCTGTCCCAGGGCCTTTTGGGGGCAGAAATCAGCCTGGAACATAGGTGTCAAAACTTTTGGATAAATTCTTTCATTTCTGTTTGAAAATGAAATTGAGTATAGCCATCTTTAAAAAGGCAAATCTTTTATATTTTTGACACGTACAGTTACTGATAATTACTTAAAGGCTAAAATCAATGGCAGAAGAAAAACACCTCAGGGAGAGCGCTGACATGGGCACACACAATTAATTGCGCACGCACACATACAGTCTCAGCAGACTTGAGAGTGTGACCTAGTATGAGCAAAGCCGCAAGGAATTTCCATTCACCCATTAAACAAATATTTATTGAGTAACTAGTATGCGCCAAGCTTCATATTTCTTGTGTCTAATAGCCCTCTGGCTTTTCAGGTCATTTATTTTAAAGAGGGAAAATACAGCTTGCTATTTTTAAACCCAAATCTTTCAACAAGAGAACAGATTTTGATTGTTGTAATGCATTTGAGAGTTGTTCGGGGAAGCGTAAGTGATGAAGAAAGTAACTTTTTTCCTTAAGATAAGCCTGGTAATAGTAAGTCCGAGTAGTAATCAATAGGTAACGTTTAATCGATTTATTGTAATAGTAATATCTCTTTCCAGTAAATGAATACTTGAGGTCTACTTAACGTAAATTGCTAGTGGGAATAGGTTTTTAGGTGGTTGATAAAAACCCAAACAAAGCCTTCTGTGGTTTTCTTTGTTCATATACGACTCCAAATTGAGATTGAATAATTGCCCAGGTAACAAATCAGCTTCTGGCTTTAAGTGTGAGGGTACATGTCAATGCAACAAGTCAGCCTTACCAGAACATATTTTTCAATTTTCTTCTTTGCGAGAAAGGGGGAAAGGGTCAAGGAGTACTAGTGAACCCTACCAATGGAGGTAGCAACATAAGCTGTCAGGCACATTTAAGGACACGTGCATGGAGTGGGCCTCAGGGAGTGGAAGCTTTCACACCAGACAGGGCCCGACTGTGGATCTGGATCTGGTGGAGGGGACTCATCAGGCCCTATAATGAAGACTAAAGATGACATTTAAATTAGCCTGGATTAGTGTGACCTGTTTGGCAGAAAAAAACCTTATGAATACCATGTATTGTTTTCATCGTTTTTACAAGAGTCTTGTACTTTTTTCCTGCCAAAAAAGGGCCATTCTGACCATATTTCTGAGGAAACACTACAGTTAGTCAATCTAGCCATATTTAGCTTTAGCTTTTCAATACTATTGAGGCAAAGACTAAATAATTAGCTTCATAGAGGTAAGGCACGTTACTTCTCCATTTGGGTCTCAGACATAACAGTATACTTTCCTTTTGTTTCTGTTGTAGTAGACTTTTTTTTAAAGTGAAATGACTGCCTTTTAATTCTGGTTTTTCTATTTTTACTGTCATTGATGTCACAGACTTGTTCCCTTTCTGCCTTTTTCATCAGTTTACTTCAGTGTCCCCAGTAGTTCCTGAATTCTTGAAAACTCCTGCTACTACGGATCAGCCCCCCACAAGGTCCACAGCTCCTGTGCTCCCCACAAACACTGTGTCCTCAGCAAAGCCTGGGCCAGCACTGGTAAAGGTGGGTACCCTGCATACGCACTGGTTTGAGTGTCTTTACTTGTGGCTATCATCTGTAGCCCCCACGGAGGGCAAAGGCATGTGTCCACATTGCCCAGCCTGCCTTTTAGCCTGAAGCCTTAAAAACAAAATCATGGGAGGACTTGCTCGATGAGGGCTTAATATTTGAAACTGCCACCTTCAACACATGACCTATTCTTCTGTAGTCACAGAAGAGCACACATGTGGTCTGTATAAAATGATTGGAGCATTGAGAAAGGTGGTAGGGATCATTCTCTCAGCAGTGCCCAGTTCTGCTCCCTTCCGGGCCATGAGGACAGCACGAGGGGAAGGAAATAGGGTGAGATGGAGGTGCTTTCACACAGCCCATGGGAATCCTGAATCTCACAAACAGATGTCTTTAACAGTAACATGAATTTTGGACTTTATACGCAAGGTTAAACTCAGTGGTATTCCAGATATATTACATGATAGGTTAAAGGTTTAGTAGAAACAAATACGTTTCTGGTTTAACAGATTTGGCCTGATGAAGCTTAGTTTGTTTTTCAGATAAACTTCAGATTTGTGGCACTGTTCCTGCATTTTACTTGGTCAACATAATTCAGTTAGAATAAGTCCCAAGACAGATTAAAATGTTTAATATACAGTACCTTTTTAAAGTTTTTTGAAGTGTACTTAGAACTGCTAAATAAAGTGGGGCGGGGGAGTGGATAACCTGCAGAATAGTTTAATCATTTCAGATGTGGCTTTTGCCAAAACTAGCAGAACACAGTTCTCAAACTTTCAGAACTAAAAAAGAGCAATAGAGAGTGAGCTAACCCTCACCACCTTCCAAATGAGGGACCGAGACCCAAAGAAGTAAAAAAGTGACAAGGCCAGGAAGGACTTCAATCTCCTGAAGTCCAGTCCAGCCCTTTTGCCCTGCCTTCTCAGTTAACCCATTGCCGGGTGCGTTCCTCATCTCCATCTGTCCATGGGCCTGACCTCGGAACTTTCCTGGAGAGAAGGTTCTCTTCCTACTCTCGACTCTCTTTGTCAATGTGGCTGAATATGTGTGGCCTCAAGGGCATATAGCAGTATATTTCACTGTCTTCCATAGCTTAATATTGGAGCCGGAAATTCCAGAGGGTGGCGAGTGGCGATTGTTTCAATAAAAGCAGCTCTTACCTCCTCTTCCCACATCCCCAAGCACACACCGCTAATGGCACAAAGAGTGTTTGAGTGCTAACCTTTCTTTCCCTGAAATTCTGCTCTTCATTAGTGTCTATCCTTAAGGAGGGCTTTGGTTCTAGGGCAAGAGGCATTGCTTAAGAATGTAAGATTTGGGGGTTGGGGAAGGAACCCTGGGAGTATACTAGTGAGGAAGGGACAGGTACATGTTAGGAAACAGACCGCAATTCTTTGGGTTTTTCTATGAGGAAAGTTATTTCCCAGCCTCACTTAGGAGATTAGGAGAGAAAAGTTGTGTGCTGGCTAATATGTAATAGCAGATTTGGTCTGAGGAACATGGTTTTTGTGTTTATGTCCCCTCCCTTTTCATCAGATTTCTTCGTGATTGTAACTGGGCCAGCTGTTTTACTGTTACAAAGCAGTTAGAGACAAACCTCTGTAACCCAGACCCCATTCATTGGTTTACTAAGTTTGAAAAGACTAAAAATAAAATATATTATTGATAACAACATAAGCAGGTGACAGTGAATTGATTAGTATTGTGAGATTACAGGAGGATTTTCAACAGGCAAGGGTATTTTCTGGCATTATTATGTTTTTTTAAGTGCCTTATAATTCCAGTGATTTCTAATTGCATATACATTCATCATTAATTCACTCAGCAGATACTTACCTAGTACCTTCTATGTGCCAGTCACTGTTCTGGGTACGAGAAATCAGTAAAGCAGTGAAAAAAAACCCAAAGCACCCACACCTTGGTTAGGAGTGGGAGGTAAACAGACAACAAAATACAGAGTGGGCTGGTTGTGAAGAATAAAGTCATGATAGGGGCTACTGAGGAGATGTGGGGAGACATTTCTGTTTTTTAGAGTGCTTGGGCAAAATGTGCAGAAGGCATTTGGGCAAAGATATAAAAGAGGTGGGGGAGCTGCCATGAGGATGTCTGTGGGTAAAAAGTAAATATGAATAGTGACAATTCCTGGTCTGTAGAGTATGGTGATTTTTGTTTTCTTCTTTTTTTGAATATCCTAATTCTTCAGATATGGACATATATAACAGGATCACACCAATAACCATATTTAATGTAGTACTTCTCAAAGTCTTCTTACTGAGTATTTTACCTAAGGAAACTTAGGCATAATTTCTTATACCTTCTTTTATTGATGGACTGTTTTTTTTTCAGATGAAGTTATAAGATGAATACTAAAAAGCAGAAAGTGATCTGATCTCTTTCAAATGGAGGAGAAAGAAAACTCAGGAAAAAGTCATCTGATTCTTAATCATAAGACTGGGTCTCACACCCCATTTTCAAAATAAAAATACAATGATTTTGAAAAACTGTTTAAAACTCATATTCCTATTATGCAGTATTTTTGTGTGTATATTTTCTATAGAAATACATAGTTTATTATGCTTTATTCCCATTACAAGCATTTTTGTTTTTGCATATTACTTATTGATTTTAATGACTATAAAATATTGTAGTTATAGTGAAATATATTTCATATTTTTTCTATTGTTTATTTACTGTACAACCTGTTTTTCACTAGGAGATAATATATGTAAGCACTTAACAGTGTGTCTACACAGAAATCTCAGAGTAAATGTTTGTTGAATTTGAACAGATAATGCTAAGCTGAGCATCTTGCCCTTAGTCTCAGGGAACAAGGCAGCAGGAGAAATAAGTTCTTAGAAACAAGATTTCTTGGTCAAGGGTATACGCACATGTTTCCCTGGCTTTAGAAATGTGTTTAGTACGTTGCTTTCCACAGTGGCTCCTCCAGTTCCGAAGCTACACTGTGTTTTCATTTCCAGTCATTGAGGCACAGTAAAATAGATTGCATGTGGTGGCATCTTTAAAAATGTTCTTATTCCCTTTTTCTCACAAACAGCAAAGCCATCCCAAGAATCCGAATGACAAGCACCGTAGCAAAAAATGCAAAGACCCTAAACCACGGGTAAAGAAGCTCAAGTACCACCAGTACATTCCACCAGACCAGAAAGGGGAGAAGAGCGAGCCGCAGCTGGATTCCAACTACGCCCGCCTGCTCCAGCAGCAGCAGCTGTTCCTGCAGCTACAGATCCTGAGCCAACAGCAGCAACACTACAACTACCAGACCATCCTACCTGCACCACTCAAGTACGGGGCTAGGGGCAGTACTAGCTTCTAAAGTCTATTTTACTGTGTGCTTTTTTTTATGAGGACCCATAGGTACTGAATGTTGGATGTTGTGATTTATTTGTGCATAATGACTGTGTTCATTTTATTGTCATCAAAGCTCCGCATACAGTGTCTCAAGTCAACATAGTAAGAATAGCCTGCATGCTGCTCCAGTTTTTGTCCTCCAAAGTAGGTTCTGAATTTTTCAAGTTAGAAGTGACCTTTCAGAATTACTTAGCCAAGAAAGATTTGCCTAGTATTAAATGCTATGAAAACAGCATCAGAGAAGTAGAACTGGTATAAACAATTTTTTAAAAAATGATCATAAAAACTGGATTGATCAAGAAAAGTTTTATGAAAAAGGCAGGATATTTATGTCAGAAAGGGCCTTAAATTTGAGAAGGGCCTCTCCAAGCAGAGGGGAATGATGTAGTGGAAGTACAGAGTGCAATGCCTGTTTATTGGATGGTGAGCAAGACAGCCTGTTAAATAATGACTATGATTAATTTGTAAGAAAAGTGCAAGACAGAATTGAGTAGAGCCAATGTCTGGAAGAACTTGAAAGTTGGGCTGACTCTAATCTTGATGTGGTAGATGTTTCAGAGGGCCACGCCGACATGGTAAAATCAGCATGCAGGGAAGAATAGTTTGACCCCAGTCTGGAAATAGGAAAACCAGTTAGAAATTTTGTTGTAAACTAGATGCAAGAAGATAAAAGGGCACTAATAATGGAAAGGAAGGAAAAGAGGATAGATATTCCAAAAGACAATGAATAAGGTCTTTGTGACCAACAACCATGGTGCAAAAACACATTTCCAAAGTTTGAGCCCAATTATGGGGAAAGGGAATGAGTTCTGACAGTTTCTGAGACTGAATCCATAGCAAGGCATCCATAGCTTATTTTAATTATGTAATAAAGGAAACTTCTAGTTATACATCCTCAGTATGTTTTTTTCTGGGAAACAGATAAAGATGCCCCTGCCCTTCCTTTTGTTCGCTTTTTAGGAGAAAGGGATATTTACATTCAACTTAAGAAAAACTCTAGAAAAAAATCAAATCTTATACAAGAAAAAATTATTCTCTGTGATCAAGCCCTTTGATTTATAATCACATGATTTATAGACACTTGACTCGTTTTCTACATGTAGGCTAAGCATTCCTCCATAGGGAACCCCTGTTTTCTAGGAGTAGAAAACAATTAAGATCCACTAAAAAGCTTCTCTGTAAGAAATATCTTGTACTTGCTTTGGCAGCACATGTCCTATAACTGGAACAGTACAGAGACAATTAGCATGGCCTTTGCACAAGGATAACATGCAAGTTTGGGAAGCGTTCCATGTTTAAAAAAAAAAGAAAGAAACCTCCTCATATGCTAATAATTATCAATTCACTGTTTTCTTTCAAAAACCAAATATGTCAAAGAACGTTAGACCAATTAGTCATTCAGACCTTACTGTGAAGTACTTAAATCTACATCAGAGCCCAGAGATGAAGGAGGGAAGAATCTTGTGGCATGTTATTATTTTAAGAGCAAGCAGTCCTGAGAGAGCTGTTGACATTGGCAGGGGACAAGGAACGCAGAGAGCTGGAAGGGCATCAAAGACAAACAGCCACTGCTTTACAGCTCTGTCCAGGTCCTAGGGAGGCATCCCCTCTGTGCCACCCTCCTTGGGCACCATGATGATAACAGCAGCGATGGCTCATACTTGTGTGCTTCTTATGATGCCCCAAGCCGTGTGCCTGTCAGCACTTGACATCATCATCATCTGCACAGTTACTCTAGAAGGACTGATGTTATTGACCCCATTCCCAGATGAGGAAACTGTTCAGCTGAAACCCCATAAAAGGATTGTTTGTATGTGTGTGCTGTCCGTTGATAAAATAGTCTTTCCTGTAATGAAAGAAATTGACTGTGTGGGGCCAGCTTCATAGACGGGAAGAATACATCTGAGGTACAGGGTTTCTGAGCTCTTAACAGCCCTCTGTCTTTCCAGCAAGGCTTCACTTCCCCTGTCCTCCTCAAACATTCTCACCACTAAAGTGACCAAGCCAGCCCATCCAAGGAAGACCTCACACAAAAAGATACAGGAGCCAGGAGGAGGAAAGATCACTGATTTTTTTAGTATTATTTCACCACACACAGACCAAACATCAGTTCTGTTTAACGTCAGGTCCTAAAAGTGGAGATGCTGTTTTCTAACACACTTTATTTTTACCAAAACTCCACTACAAGAAACTAACTGCGGAAGTCCTATAGTGCCCACTGTAGTGGAATTTTCTTGATAATGCAGCCATTTGGTGCCGTGGAAGGAGCAAGAGCCCAAAGACACGGGGCTGTAGTCCCAGTGCAGCCACACACTGACAGAGGGCCCTGGAAGGTCACTCTGTCTCTCTCTCCTTCAGGTTCCTCATCTGCGCAGTGATCCCATTCATCGCCTGCGTTTTCCTCTTGATTTAGGTGGGGGAACAGGTCAACTTATTTCTTTTATTTTAAAGGTTGAATTAAATACTGAACTCTTTATCATACTAACCAAATGTATTCTAGAATCTCAACCAAAATGACAGCACGAATAGGCTAATTCATTGAAGTCATGCATTCTCAAGGAGGTGATCTCATTCCTGGGGGAGCAAAAGTTGGCTGAGGGGAATCACACTTTTTACTTAATAAAACACAGACATATATGCATTACATAGATAGATATACAGTATAACTATGGTATTAAAATTTCTTAGGGGAAGTGATTAGGAAAAAAGTGTAAAATGTCTCCTTGCAGGGACAGTATTGAACATAAAATTGAGAAACTTTGATTTAAATAAATTGTTTTCATAATTTAAAAATAAGATTTAAAATTTGAATTTTTAGAAATGAGAATAACAAAATATGTCATTTCATCCAAACATCAAGAAACTTCATTTCAAATACTTCAGATATTAAACTTCAACAAAATTAAATCAGGTTTAAAAAGACTCAGCTAAATGTAAAGAGTTAGCTGTTGACAAGGCCAGAACTGGCTTCAAACATACGCTTCCTAAAACTCACTTGAGAAAGCTTATCCAACGGCGGACCTCACCCCATGTGCATCACCACCTCAGATCCCTATTCAGAATGAGGAATTCAGAGCCTCTCTGGCTTCAGTGCCACAGCTTATATGATGATACAGTCTCAGGCTGCAGTGGAATTGTACAGAGTCGGCCATCACATCACCTTTCTTTAATAGGTGTCAACCGTGACAAAAGGAAATGCCATTATTGCCAGGAGTATCACAGTCAAAAGAAGTCAGAGGGGACCTTGGTTTCATCTGGACAGGCATTTAAGGAAATTTTAGTACAAAAGCACCTAAGCTTTGTACTAACCAACATTTTTAATAAACTTTTAAAAATGAAGTATAACTTACATACAAACCCATAAATCAAGTAAAAATTGTGCCAAAGTAAGCATCCCCATATTGCCACCGAAATCAAGAAATGGAACATCCTCAGTCACTCTCTTGGTGATTATCCTGACTTCTATCCCATAGACTAGTTTTGCCTGCTTTTAAACATTGTATAAATGCAATCCTATAGGACACATGTGTGTCTGCCTTCTTTTGCTCAACGTTATGTTTGTGAGATGCATCTTTATTGGTTCATTTTTTATTGCTGTCTAGTATTCTATAATTTATCCACCCACCATATTCTTGGTGGACAGTTGAGTTGCTTCCAATTGGGGCTGTTATGAAAAATGCTGTAATAAATATCCTAGTGTGCATCTTTTGACTGACAAAGTGTGTCTTTGTCAGGTATGTGTCTAGCAATGGAATTGTTGGGTCAGCAGATAGGTATAGTTTTTTTGTTTAGTAGATACTATGAAACAGTTCTCCAAAGTGGTTGGGCCAATTCACAGTTCTACCAGCTCTGTCTGAGGGAGAGCTCTGGCTATTCCAAACAGTTGGTGTCAGCAGCCTACAGTATAGCAGCAATCCTCTGGATGTGCAGTGCCATTTTGTTGTGCTTTTCATTTGCATTTTTCTCATACATGTTGAGGTTAAGGCTTTGTACACATATTTATTGACCATTTGGAAATATGAAGTCTGTCTGGAAAAAGTCCAACCCTTGTTAATATAATGAGAACAGTTTGTGCGACATCAGTGTAACCTAGCAGCTAAGGAGAGTGGACTGGAAGGCACATGTGTGAAAAATGACTTCACTGTACTAGTCAATAGGGGCAGTAGACACTTTTGAGTGAGCATGTGTACTGAGTGGCCATTGCATTTAAACTGACTGAGCAAGTAGAGTAACGAATCTGCATCAAATCTTGCATTAAGCTTGAACATTCCTTCACAGAAACTATGATTCAGAAGGCCTCAACTATGGGCAACTGATGACTGGCAACTTCATCACAACGCATGAGTTCATGCATCACATCTCTTGCAGTTTTTTGGTGAAACATCAAATCACCCAAGTGACTCAGCCCCCCTGCAGCCCACATGTAGTGCCCTGCAACTTCTGGCTTTTCCCACAACTAAAATCACCTTTGAAAGGGAAGAGATTTCAGACCATCCATGAGATTCAGGAAAATATGACCAGGAAGCTGATGGCAACTGGCAGAACCGTGTGAGGTCCCAAGGTGCCTACTTTGAAGGGGACTGATGCGTCATTGTCCTGTGTGCAATGTTTCTTGTATATTCTTCAGTAAATGTCTCTATTTTTCATATTACATGGCTAGGTACCTTCTGGACAGACCTCGTGTGTTCTTGTGATATATTTACTCAAGATTTTCCCATTGAGTTTTCTGTTTTTTCTTACTGATTTGCAAGGCTTCTTTGTATATTGTAGATATGAGTCTTTTGTGAGAAAAATATATTACAAGTATTTCTCACATGGCTTGACTTTTCACCCTCCTAAAGATGTCCTTTTTAGCTAGTGCTTTTTGTGTCCTATTTAAGAAATCTTTTCCTATCCAAAGACCATGAAGGTATTATCTTAGTTTTCTTTAAAAGCTGTATTGTTTTCAAAATTCACACTTAGGTTATTGGGGATGATGTAAGGTAGGGGTCAATCCAGAGTACTACTTTTTCCTGTATGAATATCCAGTTTGGCCCAGTACTATGTACTGGAACTGGAGTGCCATGTCACCTTTGTGTGTGTGGAGGGGGGGGCTGTGTCTGCATTCTTTGATCCCTTCCATCTGTCTGTTGTTCTGTCTTTGCACCAGCACCACACCATCTGAATAACTGGCTTTTTAATAAATATTAGAATCTAGTGGCATGGCTCTCCCAGCTTTGTCCTTTGCTTTTCTTCTTCAAGGACGCCGTGGCCGTTGTTGGTCCTTTGCATTTCCATGCAAAGCTTAGAACCACTTTGTAAGTTTCTACCAAGCAAGCAAACAAGCAAAAACCCACAGCAGGGGGTGTCCAACCTGCAGCCCATGGACCACATGCGGCTCCGGATGCCTATGAATGCAACCCAACATGAAATTGTAAATTTACTTAAAACATTATGAGATTTTTGTGTGATTACATGCCACAATGTATTTAACATGTGGCCCAAGACAACAATGCTTCTTCCAGTGGGGCCAACAGACACCAAGAAGTTGGACACCCCTGATAGAGGAATTTTTATTGAGACCTAATCAGATTGACAACTTTACCAGATTGAGTCTTCCAGCTCCTGACCATGGTATTTTTCTCTTCCTAAGTTAACAGTCAAATTTTAGCAGAAGTAATGTCAAATCCAGAAATTACTTTATTATAAACTCTTTCCCTTTTTCTTTTTTTTTGAAGGCCACTCAATGACAAAAATAACAACAGTGGGAATTCAACTTTGAACAACACCATATCTAACACACCAAGACAGAATACGTCTGCTCCCTTGAGAAAGCCAGGACCTCTGCCTTCTAGCCTGGATGACTTAAAGGTGATAATTCCAAGTAGAGTTTCTTCACCCAAAAGTACCACAAAAATGTAAACAGTTTGCAAGATTTATCTAGGTGGTTTTCAATAGACATTCAACTTTACCAACAATATTATAACCCTTATAGGTACCTTCCTCTTATGTCCCTTAAGTTTATTTTACAATATTATTACAATGACCAGTAATAACTTTCATTTATTGAACATATACCATGTGCCACCACCATACCTGATTCCAGAGAGATTTTTTTTTTCTTCTGTGCTCATTGCCAAATTTGGGAGAAGGGGGGAAATGTAACAGTTAAGAACGTAATCTCCAGGGCTAGCCTTTCTGGGTTTCTACCCCAGCTCAGACTTCTGTTATTTGAGGTAGCTTGGACTAGTGATTCAACCCCTCTCTGCCTCAAACTCCTCCTCTTTAAAATGGGAATAATAATGCCTACATCTCATATTAAGATTAATTGAAAGAATGAAGCCCTTCCAACAGTGTCTGGCACATAGTAATTACTCAATAAATGGAGCTATTGCCATCATTTCAAGTAAATCTTTTCTTTGACATAACAGCTTTGTTATTACTGGCCTTTCAGTTTCTTCTGGTTTCTAGTTATACATGTTTCTGTGTGTTAAAAAGGAAAAAGAAGCTGTCCCATTTTCAGATATGCCATAATATGGAGTTCTCTGACAGATGTAGGCCCCATTCCTGGTCATAAAAGTGTCCTGTAGATCTGTCAGGAAGCTTTAATACCTGAAGAGAGCTGATTTGTTTGTTCTTGTAGGTATCGGAGCTGAAGACAGAACTGAAGTTAAGGGGTCTTCCAGTGTCAGGCACCAAACCAAACCTTATCGAACGCCTGAAACCTTACCAGGAAATGAACAGCAATGGCATTGCTGCTGATGGCGTTGTGGCAGTGTCAACATCTGCTGTCGTCACCAGTAACCCAGAAGTCACCATGGCATTGCCAGTTACCACACTACAAAACTCTGTGACTAGCTCAGGCTCCACTTTCAAGGCAGAATTGCCATCTGCTGGAACCAGCAATGCAGCCCATGTGGAAACTGTTAATTCACCTCTGCCGATCTCACCATCTCCCTCCGAACAGTCCAGTCTCAGCACTGAGGACACAAACATGGCAGACACGTTCACCGAGATTATGACAATGATGTCTCCTTCACAGTTCTTGTGTTCATCTCCTTTGAGATTGACAAGTAACGAAGACAGCCTAAGTCCCACCAGCAGCACTCTGTCCAATCTGGAACTGGATGCAGCTGAGAAGGATCGCAAGCTTCAGGAGAAAGAAAAGCAGATTGAAGAGCTAAAGAGGAAACTGGAACAAGAGCAGAAGCTCGTGGAAGTTCTAAAAATGCAACTTGAGGTTGAAAAACGAGGGCAGCAGCAGCAACAGCAGCAGCAGCGGCGGCCACTGGAACCCCAACCCAGTGCCCCAGCTAATTCTGTCAGCCAGTTAGAGCAGAAGCACAGCAGTGTCAGTTCCTCCATCAAAGATGAAACCTCACTCACTGACTGCTCCAGCCCCAGGCAGCCTGTCCCAGGACCCAGCCATTCTGTAGGCCAGCCTGTCGCTACGAGTGGTCAGACCCTTGTTGCCAAAAAGGCTGTGGTGATCAAGCAAGAGGTCCCTGTGGCTCAGGCAGAGCAGCAGAGCATCGTCCCACAGTTTTATGTGAGTTCTCAGGGACAGCCGCCACCTGCTGTTGTTGCTCAGCCTCAGGCTCTGCTGACCACACAAACTGCTCAGCTGCTGCTCCCAGTGTCCATCCAGGGCTCCGGTGTCACCTCAGTGCAGCTCCCTGTAGGCAGCCTCAAACTCCAGGTGTGAAGTGTGTCTTCTAACTACTTTGTCTTGCAGCCTGCTTAGAATTGGACACTCAGCCAGTGACAGATTACCTGAGCTTTTTCATAAATGCATCCAACCAAATCAGGCTTCACAGATGCAGAAAACTATCGGGTGGGATGGGGGTATTCAGAATTTTGAATCATCAGCACTGTTTTTATGTAGTTTAAAAAGGGGTGGTTTTCTACTTATGGTACCTTTTGCATTTACTAAACACAGTATAGTATATGTAGCCATTTTTAAGTACCTATGACATTATCATAATAGCTGTCGTTGAGCACTTTTTATGCACAAGGCAGAAAATCAACTACTTTAAATGGCTTACTTCATTTAATCCTCCCTTCCCTAGAAGAGCCAAGTGATACAACCCATTTCTAGATAGGGAAACTGAGGCCCTTTGAAGTTTTGGCAAGTTGCTTGAGAACAGAACTAGTGTTTAAACCTTGGCCTTCTGACTCCAGAGCTTTGACTCTTATGTCCACTCTTATATTCTGCCTCCCAAATGTATTCCTTGAAAGGCACCATTAATGTGAAGATGCCAACACTAAGGAAAATGTGAACACAAAACTTAAAAGTGAAGATGTTGAGAGAGTTTTTACTGGTGAAATTTCCTTTAATGCTCACATAACCTATGCATCAACCTTAAGTTGTTTTTATGTAATGTGATTGCCATAGGTTTCAACAAAATGTAGTCCACATGCATCGGTTTTCAACCTTGACTACCCAGATATCCTTAGCAGAATATACCCTGGGGTTGGAAGGTAGGACTCACAGGCCCTTGGCATTTGCAAAAATCCTAATTCCCCTCTTTAGTCTTTAAGAGTGTCTATGAAATGGAAAGTCTACTGTTGAATACAGTTTTTGTAAACTTTTCTTCCTGTCCAAATCTTCCATTAGAGTTGATGTTCTAGGTGAAGAACTGCATTTCATTCTGAGCCTGTGTGCGCTGGCACATGGCTGTCTGTCCTCAGAGGGTAGACATATTGTGACATAAATGCAAGAATTTGGACTCTTAGGCCTCACATATTTCCTTGCTGCTCTTAATACCTGACCTATTCAATGTAAAGCTGCTACAGGTTCTTTTTATTTCAGTCTTTTATTTTCACAGAATTTCCAAATGAACATCTTAGCCAGTTAAAGAATAATAAGAGCATGAAAATAACTGGTCTGGTGTTTAACTCTATGGTTTAGAATTGTCAAGGCTCAAATTTAGGTGCTAATGAGTTCAAGTGTGTATCTGTAAACATTTTATCTTATTTTACTTCAGATGTGATCCCCAAATGACCACGTCTAAACTCCTGATTTTAACTTTGATTATGACAATTAAATTCGTTTTTTGTTTTTTTGTTTGTTTGCTTGTTTTTGCCTCTTAGGCTCCACCACAAGCAGGAATCCAGACTCAGCCTCAGATAGCAGCCACCGCCTTGTCCTCCGGCTTGGCCCAGACTGTACCTCAGAAACCAGACACGTTCACACCGCATGTGCTCAGTCAGCCACAGCCAGTCAGAAAGGTTGGTGAATGCTAACGGGTGACCCACAGTTGCTGATTGGTACTCTCATCTGCTCAGCCACTCAGCATCTTCACAGGAGCTTCACCTGGGGAAGCTCCCTTTGTTCTGTTCTATGATCCGTCTCCCATCAACAGGAACCTCAAGTCAGATGTCATTTGGCTGCAGATTATCCAGTTATTTGGGAAAGAAAAAGAGTTCTTTATTACTAAAAGATAGCTAGTCTTAACAGTTAAACTCTTCAAGTAAAAGTTTCAAAGATATTTTGTTAATCTTCATACATAGAATATTCTGGGTTTTAAATAATTGTTCTTAAATTATCCATTCTTGTGGAGGTGGGGGGGGGAGTACTATTCCCTAGGGAAAAAATATTTGAAGATGAAAAAGATACTTTCTGAAATGTATCTCTTCAGTAAGGTCTTTATATACTTCGAGTTTGCCATCTCCCAGATTAAGAACTAGAAGGCTACCCTCACTGGTGTGGCTCATTTGGTTGGACGTCATCCTACAAAGCAAAAGGTCTCAGTTTGCTTTCTAGTCAGGGCACATGCCTAGGTTGTGGGTTCGGTCCCCAGTTGGGACACGTACCAGAGGCAGCTGATTGATACTGTTTCTCTCACTCTCTTTCCCCCTCCCTTCCCCTTTCTCTAAAAATAAACTTTTAAAGAAGAAGAAGAAGAAGAACCACAAGGCCTCAGTCTAGTTATCATTCTGCTTTACCTATGTGTTGGGCCTTATGCACAGTTCTCTCTCTTTCTCCGAGTGTCTGTTGCCTCACCTTTAAAATTATGGTGTTGATCTAGGGTTCAGTGTCCTCTGCGCCAGTTCCCACCCATAAGTTAGCAAAATTCCCACCTACTCAGTAGGTGGAGCTATGTGTACGTCTCCCTGCCAGAATAAAATTATTAAGGCCTTAAATATAGGTCTTACTATTATAAACCTTGAGAATTAGTATCAGTCCCAGAGTTTTCATCTTCTACATGAAAGAACCTAGATACTTAGGTGGACCTATAGATATGCCGCAGGGTGGTGTGAGCCCTTTGGGCTGAGACAACTTCAGGGACAGGCAGAAACAACCGCTCGTGTCAGAACAATCTCATTAACGCATGTCCTCACTTTTGGACTCTGAAAAATGCAGCAGTTCTAATCACATATTTCTTAGTTTGAGCCCCAAATAACATTTTAGTGTAGTGATAAGCTTAGTGAATGTTCAGGTGTTGAGAATGTTTTCTTTGTTTTAGGGTAAAAGGAAAAAACATTATTTATACAAAGAAGGGTTTACACACTGAATCTCAAAATAATAGAATTAGGAATCATTACTTGAAATTAAAGGAAGAATATTTTACCAAATATTATTAATTCAACTTTTTAAAAGAGGAATATACCTACAGAATTCATCACCCAGAGAAGTTGTACTGTTTGGAGGGATATAAACACACACACGTACTTTCATGTTTAAGAAAAACTTATATTTACAATAAAAATACTGGATAAGTTTCTCTCTTTCAGGATACTAGTGGCATAAAGTATATGAAATATTTCTATGAGCAAACCAGTTCTGTAAAATTGTTACAATATCAAGTCTGGCCATACATTTTTAAAAGGCCCTTAAACCTTTAGCTCTTCATTGGAGCTAAACAGAACACTTTCTAGTTCCACAGGAAGAAAGTCTCACCTCTGCCTGACAGAGTGGAAGACAGCTTCTCAGAAGGGGGCATATTTTAAATGGGGCCTTGCAAAAATTTGGATAAATATTCAAGCAACTAGAAAATTGAGTGTGGCCACAACATGTGTAGCCTTTCAGGTAGAAGGGAAAAGGGGCCAGGTAGTAAAAAGGTTTCACGCCAGCAAAAATTAGGTTTTTACCCTAAAGACAGAGCAGCCAGTGAATGTGGCAGAGCTCCATTGGATGTGTGTGCTAAGATGATACTTCCAGTGGGTGGCTGACAGGCAGGGAAGCACAGTGAGCTGGCTAGGGCGGAGTCCAGTGATATATAATAAGGACGTGGGTTAGGATACTGAGAACAGAAGCCTGATCCAAGAATCATTTTTAAGAAGTGTGAGCTCTGAGGGGAGAAGGCAGAATAGACTGATGGCTCCATTAACTAAAGTTTAAAAAATATAAAGGCAAAACCAGGAGTTACTTTTCCTTAGAGGCTGGGAGTGGAGGGAAGAAAGGGGAAAGCTGAGTTTGGAATATATGAAATTTGAGGTGTCCCAAATACATGTTTGTAAATGTGGCTGTGGCACTTGGAAACAAGGTTAGAAGAAAGAAGTGAGTTTGGAGATCATTAGATTGTGAGTGGAAGCTACACTAGCCTCTTCCCAGGACCAATCTGGAATTACAACTAAGTTGTGGAGAAATGATCCAGAATAACCAACTGAACACTGGCTGGAGAAAAGCCTTATAACCAAGGATAAACAGAAGAAATCACTTCACCACAATGTGACTGGTAGGAAGTACGGAGGAGAATTAAGAGGACTGGCTGGACTCCCACGGGTGGCAGCTGAGTGCCAAAGGGATATTTCAACAGCTGGGAGGTTACCCCCTGGGAAGTGTAAGGTCTGAACCCCAAGCTGGGCTCCCCAGGCTATAGCACCAGAGCCAAGAAAGGAACACAGATAACATCCAGCTGTGAAAAGAAGCAGAATTTTTGCCTGCCAAGAAGAGACAGCTGGAGACTAAGTTAGGCAAAGAAAATCCTCTTAAAGGGCAAAAAGCACAAAATTTCATTTGCAGCCACCTAGCCTGGGCACTGGCAAAGGGAAGGCAAGGTGGACTAGAGCCACAGTCTGAGGTTGGTGGCTCTAGGGAGAAAACTGAAGGAACAGCTGCCAGGATCCCTGTGCTGAGTCACTCCCTATACTACAGGAGCATTCTCCCTTGGCAGAGCACTCCTCTCTGAAAGGCATCAGCCTGAGAGGAAGCAATAGCCCTGTCCACAGGAATTACTCTGCCCCACTCTGTGGTGCTTAAGCCAGGCTCTTTATTACAGCTTGGTTAGATTAACAGATTATCTCTTTAGAGGCTGATTAATCACTAGGGCAGAAAATACAAAGCAGCACCCAAATGACAGAACCAGTGAATTTTCCAGAACTATAGTAAATGAAGGCAAGTAGTTTATCAGACAGTTTAGAGTAATGATTATAAGAATACTTAACAGCATGAAAAAAGACATAGAACCCATGAAAAAAGGACCAGTAAGAAATAAAGAATGCAGTATCTGAAATAAATAGTACACTGGAAGGAATAAACAGTAGACACATGAAGCAGAGGACAAATCAGTGTTTCGGAAGACAAGGCAAAAAAATACAGGCAGACCAACAAAGGAAAAAAAGAATTTTAAAAAATAAGAGCTTAAGACATATTTTGGACAGCATTAGGCATAACAACATCCACATCATGGGAATACCAGAAGGAGAAGAGAGAAAGCAAGGGATCGAGAATCTCTTTGAAGAAATAATGACTGAAAACTTCCCTAATCTGGTACAGGAAAAAGTCACACAAATCCAGTAAGTTCAGAGAGGCCCAAACAAGTTGGACGCAAAGAGGCCAATACCAAGATACATCATAATTAAAATGACAAAGTTTAAAGACAAAGAGAGAATCCTAAAAGCCACAAGAAAAAAGCGGGAATTACCTACAAGGGAGCACCAATTAGGCTGTCATTTGATTCCTCAGGAGAAACATTTCGGGCCAGAAGGGAGTGGCATGAAATAATCAAGGTGATGAAAAGGAAGGACCTGCAATTTAAAATCGAAGGAGAAATAAGGAACTTCCCAGACCAGAAGCTAAAGGAATTTGTTAACACCAAACCACTACTGCAACAAATGTTAAAGGGCTTGCTTTAAGAATAAAAACGGGGGGGAAAAAGAGGAAAACGGTCTAACAATAAAATGGCACTACATACATATCTGTCAATAATCACCTTAAATGTAAATGGCTTAAATGCTCCAACCAAAAGACATAGAGTAGCTGAATGGGTGAGAAAACAAGACCCATGTATATGCTGCCTCCAAGAGACCCATCTAGGTTGAAAGACACAGACAGACTTTTTCCTGCCCTAAAAGGGCAGGAAAGGAGCACCTAATTGGTGCTCCCTTGTAGGTAATTCCCCACTTTTTTCTTGTGGCTTTTAGGATTCTCTCTTTGTCTTTAAACTTTGTCATTTTAATTATGATGTGTATTTCCTAAAAGGGCAGGAAAAGATATTTCATGCAAATAAAAAAGGAAAAAACTTGGCTAGCAGTACTTGTAGCTGACAAAATAGACTATAAAACCAAGGGTATGGTAAGAGACAAAGAAGGACATTACTTAATGATAAAAGGAAAATCCAACAAGAAGATATAACCCTAACAAACATTTACGTACCCAACATAGGAGCACCTAAATATGTACCACAAATCTTAATGGGCACAAAGGGGGAGATCGACACAATACATTCACAGTCAGCGATTTTAACACCCCTTTGACTTCAATGCATAGTTCATCCAGGCAAAAAGAAAATCAACAAGGAAACAGTGGCCTTAAATGACACACTAGATCAAATGGATTTCATTGATATCTTCAGAGCATTTTACCCCAAAGCAGCAGAAAATACATACTTTTCAAGTACACATGGAATATTTTCTAGGATTGACCACATGTTAGGACACAAAACAAGTGTCAGCATATTTAGGAACATTGAAATCATATCAAGCATCTTCTATGACCACAGTGCTATGAAACTAGAAATCAGTCATAAGAAGAACACTGAGAAACATGCAGATCTGGAAGCTAAAGACCATGCTATTAAAAAGATGAATGGGTTAGCAGTGACATCAAGGAAGAAATCAAAGGCTATCTAGAAACATGAAAATGAGGACACAACAATCCAAAACCTGTGTGACACTGGGAAAGCAATCCTAAGGGGGAAATTCATAGCATAACAGGCCTATCTCAAAAAAGAAGAAAAAGCTCAAAAAAAACAATCTTAACTTCACACTTAAAGGAACGTGAAGAAAAAACAACAAAGCCCAAAGTAAATAGAAGTAAGGAAATAATAAAGATTAGAACAGAAATAAGTGAAATCGAGTCTACATAAATGACACAAAAGATCAACGAATCCAAGAGCAGGTGCTTTGAAAAGATAAACAAGATTGACAAACCTTTAACCAGACTCACCAAGAAAAAAAGAGAGGACCCAAACAAATAAAATCAGAAATTAAAGAGGAGAAATAACACCTGACATCAAATACAAAGGATTGTAAGAAAACAAACAACTATATGCCAGCAAACTGGACAACATGGACAAAATGGATAAATTCCTAGAAATAGACAATCTTCCAAAACTAAATCAGGAAGAAGCAGATAATCTGAATTGACAGATTACACCTAATGAAATTGAAGCAGTGATCAAACTCCCAACGGACAAAAGTCCTTGACCAGAAGACTTCATGGGAATTTTACCAAACATTCTGAGAACAAACACCTCCCCTTCTCAAACTATTTCATAAAATTCAAGAGGAGGGAAGCCACCCAAACACATTTTATGAGGCCAGCATTATCCTATTCCAAAACCGGATAAAAATAGTAAAAAAAAAAAAAAAAAAAAAGGCGGGCGGGGGGAATTACAGGCCAATATCCCTGATGAACACATGTGTTAAAATCCTCAACAAAATATTAGCAAACCAAATAACAGCAGTGCATCAAAAAGATCATATACCATGATCAAGTGGAATTTATTCCGGGAATGAAAGGTGGTACAGCAGAAAAAGCTTTTGATAGACTCCAGCACCTATTTATGATTAAAAACTCTGTGCAAGTGGGAAGAGAGGTAACATATGTAACCATAATAAAGGCCATATCTGACAAACCTACTGCCAGCATCATACTCAATGGGCAAAAACTACAAGCATTCTCCTTAAGGTTGGGAAAAGACAGGGATGTCTGCTTTCACCTCTCTTAGTCAACATAGTATTGGAAGTCATAGCCACAGCAGTCAGACAAGAAGAAGAAATAAAAGGCATCCAAATTGGAAAGGAAGAAGTAAAATTGTTTGCAGATGGCATGATACTGTACATAGAAAACCCCAAAGATTCCACCAAGAAACTACTAAAACTGATAAATGAATTCAGCAAAATAGCAGGATACAAAATTAATATACAGAAACTAGTTGCATTTTTATATGCCAATCACAAAGTAACAGGGAAATTAAGAAAACAATCCCATTCACAATTGGTTCAAAAAGAATAAAATACCTAAGAATAAACCTAACCAATGATGTAAAAGACCTGTACTCAGAAAAAAAAGGAAATTGAAGAAGATACAAATAAGTGGAAACGCATACTGTGTTCATGGAGAGGAAGAATTAACATTATTAACATGTCCATACTACCCAAAGCAATTTATAGGTTCAGTGCAATTCCTATCAAGATTCCAATGACATATTTCACAGAACCAGAACGAATATTTCAAAAATACATATGGAAACACAAAAGGTCCCACTTAGCAACAGTGATCCTAAGAAAGAAGAACAAAGTTGGACGAATCATGCTACCTAATATCCAATTATACTATAATACAAGGCCATAGTAATGAAAACACCATGGTACTGGTATAAAAACAGACATATAGATCAATGGAACAGAATAGAGAGCCTAGAAATAAACCCACACCTTTATAGTCAAATTAATATTCGACAGTGGGCTAAAGATAGTTTATTCAATAAATGGTGTTGGGAAAATTGAATGGATACATTCAGAAAAATGAAACTAGACCTCCTTCTTACACCATACCCAAGAATAAATTAAAAATGGATCAAAAACTAATGTTAGACCAGAAACCATAAAAATCCTGGAAGAAAACAGACAGCAAAATCTTGAAGATTGCGCATAGAAATTTTTTACCCACTGTATCTCCCCAGGCAAGGAAAACAAAAGAAAAAATAAATAAATGGGACTACATCAAATTGAAACATTGCCCAGCAAAGGAAATCATCAATAAAATAAAAAGACAATCCACAGAATGGGAGAATGTATTCACCATTCCATCTGATAAGGGGTTACTATCCAAAATTTATAAAGAACTTACAAAACTCAACCCCCAAAAAACAAACAAACCAATTTAAAAAATGGGCAAAGGACCTGAATAGACACTTCTCAAAAAAGGACATACAGATGGCCTATAGACATGAAAAGACACTGAACATCACTAATCATCAGAGAAATGCAAATTAAAACCACAATGAGATACTGTCTCACACCTGTCAGAATGGCCATCATCAATAAATCAACAAACAGCAAGTGCTGGCGAGGATGTGGAGAAGGGGAATCCTTTTGCACTCTTGGTGGGAATGTAGACTGGTGCAGCCACTGTGGATAGCAGTATCGAGATACCTCAAAAATTTAAAAGTAGATCTGCTTTTTGACCTAGTAATCACACTTCTTGGAATAGATCCAAAGGAACCGACAACACTCTAACTTGTAAAAACAAAAACACCACTATGTTCATTGCATCCATATTTACAATCACCAAGATACGGAAGCAGCCTAAGTATCCATCAATAGATGAGTGGATAAAACAACTATGGGACAGTTACACATTGGAATTCTACTCAGCCATGAAAAAGAAGATAATTTTACCTTTGCAACAGCATGGATGGAACCTAGAGAGTATTATGCTAAGTGAAATAAGCCAGTCAGAAAAAGACAAATACCATGTGATTTCACTCATATATGGAATATAATGAACAAACTGAACTAACAAGCAAAACAGAGGCAGACTCATGGATGGAGAGCAGATGACAGCGGGTTAGGGGACAGGTAAAGGGTGGAGGGATTGGGCACAAAGGAAAAAGCACTTATGGACATGGACAACAGGGTGGTGATTCCTGGAGGAAGGGGCGTATAAGGGGACTAAATGGTAATGGAAAAAATATAATAAAGGTTAAATTTTTAAAAGAAATTGCCTTGGCTGGTGTGGCTCAGTGGATTGAGTGCCAGCCTGCAAACCGAAAGGTTGCCAATTAGATTTCTAGTCAGGGCATATGCCTGGGTTGCAGGCTTGGTACCCAGTTGGGCGCATGTGAGAGGCAACTGATCTCTCACACACTGATGTTTAAAAAAAGAAAAAGAAAAAAAAGAAATTGAGCTGTCATTTGCAAGGGAAATTATACTATGCAAATGCTGCCTTCCCACAAAGTACTGTCCACCCGACTATCAGAGATGAGCCACCGAGTAAAGGGATCCCTGACACTCGAAAATCAGGGTGGAAAACCATGCCTGTTGGGCCAAATCCAGCTGCACCTGTTTTTGCTGATACAGTTGTATTGGAACCCCGGCCCACACATTTATTTACATGTTGTCCGAGCTGCTTCTGTGGTAAAGAGGCAGAAGTGAGCCGTCACCCCAGAGGCAGCACAGCCTGCAAGCCCTGAACTTATAGACTGTAGCCCTTTGCAGAAAAAGTTTGCTGACCCCTGTTTTAATTAAAACATGGTTTTCTTTAGTAGGAACAGCAGGACAAACTGATGGGAAAATATTTATTCATTACAGGTTTTCACAAGCTCGGCATCTAATACAGTCCTTTCATATCAGAGACCACCTGCCCCAGCAGTCCAGCAGCCCTTTATTAACAAGACACCCAGCAATGTTCTCCAGTCCAGAAGTGCGCCCCTCCCATCCCTGCAAAATGGACTGAGTCCTCCCAGCAAGGTAATCCTGTGGTGAGCTTAGCAGCGACATGCTTACTAGGTACACATCGTTCCGAAGCTTTAGGCTTGGAATGGCTGAAGATCAGAATTCATGGGGGAAATAGCTGAAAATACTGCAGTGTCATTGTTAAGGGGCAGCTGAGCTGTTATCACAGTGAAGATGGCCGTCCCCACACAAGGGGTCTGGCTGTGCTGACTCAGCCTCACAGGCTTAGGAGTTCCATGATTTGGCTGCCGCGTGAGGAACGGTGGAGCTGAGCCCAGCCAGGGTGTGAGGAAGCTTATTGGCCAGAGATGACATGTGCCCCTCCTCTGTTTGCCACAGCCGAGTTCACCCCCTCCAACCCAGCAATTTGTCGTCCAGCACTCTCTATTTGGGAGCCCAGTCCCCAAAACGAAAGACCCTCCCCGCTATGAAGAGGCCATCAAGCAGACACGCAGCACCCAGTCTTCTCTCCCAGAGGTAAGTGAGGCCAGCGGCTTTGGTTTAGTCTGTCAATTTCATGTCATCCTCAAATTGAATCTTTTTTTCCAAGATGGACTTGCCTTAATAGAAATACAAAGTTCATGGCTAGGAGCCTTACTGGTATTTTAAATGCTATTTAAAATCAAAATATCCTTTACTGTGAAGACTCCAACTTCCAAGCAGGTTTCAGTAGCTGTGTAGCCTGCAGTTTCTCAGATATGAAGGGTTTCTCTTTTAACTTTTCCTTTGGGTCCAAGGGTTGGATCATGTTAGGACAGAAGTTATTGTTACACAGATTCCTCTTTTCCTTTATAAGATCCTCCTGTAAGCGGAATTGACCAGTTGATAGTTATGGAAAATGAAAAGAATGTAAGTCAGCTCTAACCATGACTCTTAAATTCTCATAGATTTAGAGACATGTTGAGGTGTCCGAGGTTTTGAAACACTCTGACATCGGTTTTCTCCTGTGCTCCTCGAGAGCTTGTTACTTATCTTTGACTTTTTAACATTTATGTTTTGCTTACATTGAAAATTTTCGCATAACTTGTTTTCTAATTATAAAAAATGTGTGAAAATATGAAAATCCCAGTAAAATAGAAAATAGAAAAAAACACCAATGGTCCTACTACCCAGAGTCCTTTTATTAACATTCTGCTGTATATAATCCCATTTTTATGTCCATAGAGTTTTTTTAAATGTATTTGGACTCATACTACTTCGTAACTCAATCTTTTAAATAAATGTTTATTGAATGGATGGGCTATATATACAGTACTCATTTTGTTGTAAATTTTTTTTATTTCCATAACGTCCCCGCCCCCCACAAACCCTCTTCTTTGGCAATCATCAGTTTGTTCTCTAGATCGGAGTCTGTTTCTGGAGTTTTTTCTTCATTTATTTTGTTTTTTTTGGATTACACATATAAGTGGGATCATATAGTAGTTGATTTCTGGAGAGAGGACCCACCTGCACAAAGAACACATGATGCTGGGTACAAAAATCCCTATGGATTAAGAATGGCAGTTTTTATTTTATTTTATATTCACATTGATATGCATTATTCTGTTACAACATACTGATTACACATTTTTATAACTTACAAATTGATCACCACAAAAATGGCAGTTTTGCTGTTTATATTTATACGTTAGAATTAAAGGACAAGAGTTATATGAAATCCACTGTTGGTAGGTGAAGGAGGCGGGAGACACCGTGGAGGAACACATACCTGTCTTATACTGGTGGGTGCAGGATAGTTAATGATGCACATTTACAGCACATAGAAGTGGTATTTGGGGAACATGATGACAATGCGGGGGTTCCATGGTCTCATGATCTGATGCCAGTGGTTGCACTTTTAGGAGGAGGAAAAGAAAATTACTCTGATATGTTATCCTGGATACATAAACAATGGACAGAGCTCACTTAAGATAAACATTGACCTTTGTTATAGCCTAGGACATGACCACCTGCTCTGACCAGCCCAGTTAGGAATTTGTGATCAGACCGTCCTATCTGGTTACTTTCAGTTTCTGAGTTTTCAGGCTGTCATGTGATCAATGTTTCAATGGTATCTGTCTCTTTCTGCAGCTGTGAACTCAGAACAAGTTACTTGGCCTCTCTGAGCTTCTGTTTCTTCACCTTTAAGATGTGTAATATGACCTACCACACTGGGTTGCGAATTAAATTGGATAGTGTATTTTAAAACATCTTGTACTGGCTCTAGCGATTTCAATGACTCAATAAATCGTAGTTGCTATTGTTATGGTAATGATCATTATTATGGAAATATGCAAAGAGCAAACATCCTCAAATTGAAATGGTTAGAGCTAGTTCTAAGAAAAAAAAATATACACACAAGAGGTAAAAAAATTGCCTGCTAAAAATTGGCCAGTATTGTTATGGAAAACAGGCAGGATTTGAAGGAGAAAAAAATCTGGATTTTCATTTGCTCTCTGACACTCTAGCAACTGCTTTCTTGGAGGGGTGGGAGCAAGGATATTAAGGAAACAGAATTAAGGCTATTTTTATCATCATGTTATAATAGGATTGGTCATGGTCGTGTCATTTAGCTACTAGTACTTGGAGGTGTGAAGGGGATAAGTGTGACAGCATTTTGATAAGGTGATTGTGCCTTTGACTCAGTTGCTCACAAACTTACTTTAAACTCCTCTGCTGGGACAGAAGCTCAAAAATTACCAGGGATATATATATATATGGAATTAAATTGACTAACTTGAGGGCAAAGGCTGGAGGGGAAGCTATCTCTAGGAATGGAAACATAGTACTGGCATAAAAACACACACATAGATCAATGGAAGAGAACAGAGAGCCCAGACAGAATCCCATGCCTAGAAGGTCAATTGATCTATGACAAAGGAGGCGAGAACATACAATGGGCTAAAGACATCTCTTCAATAAATGGTGTTGGGAAAACAACAGAAATACCCACCCCCCCAAAAAATACCCCAAAATTAGACCAATTTCTTATATCATATACAAAAATCAACTCAAAATGGATTAGAGACTTAAATATGAGGCCTGAAACTATAAAATTCCTAGAAGAAAACATAGGCCGTAAACTTTTGACAGCACTCTTAGTAGTATTTCTTTGGATATGTCTCCTCGGGCAAGGGAAACAAAAGAAAAAAAATAAAGAAATGGGACTACATTAAACTAAAAAGTTTGCACAGCTAAAAAAACAACAAAATGAAAAGACAGCCTACTGAATGAGAGAAAGTATTCGCCAATGATACATCCAGTAAGGGGCTAATGTCCTAAATATACAGGATCCAGCACAAACAGTGCCCATTTTTTACTACAAAACCATAAGCATGTAATTCTGTAACATAACAATATCACATTCAAGCACACCATATGACATTTTAGGTGAAATGTTCAAATTAAAACTATAAATTATTACACCAATATCATTACCCCACCAACCACACGCAAGCAGGCATTACTTCTGCCAGACCCTGTATGATGAACTCATACATTTGACACCAAAAAGAAAAAAGAAAAAAATCCTATTAAAACTAAGTAGTTATTTCTCCAAAGAGGACCTACAGATGACTAACAGACGTATGAAGAGATGCTCAACATCACTAATCATCAGGGACATGCAAATGAAAACCACAATGAGCTATCACCTCACACCTGTCAGAATGGCAGTCATCAATAAATCAACAAACAAATGATGGTGAGGATGTGGAGAAATAGGAACCCTCATGCATTGCTGGTGGGATTTGCAAATTGGGCTGCCACTATGGAAAACAGTATGGAGATTCCTCAAAAAATTAAGATGAGAACTAGCATATTCCAGTTTTGGGTATTTATCCAAAGGAATCCAAAACACTAATTCAAAAAGATATACACCCCTGTGTTCACTGCAGCATTATTACAACAGCCAAGATATGGAAGCAGCCCAAGTCATCAATAGACAATTGGATAAAGATGTTGTGGTACATATACACAATGGATATTACTTGGCCATTATGAAGAATGAAATCTCACCGTTTGTGACAGCATGGATGGACTTAGAGGGTATTAGGCTAAGTGAAGGAAGTCAGACAGAGAAAGACAAATATTGTATGATTTCATTTGTATGTGGAATCTAAACAAAAAAACAAATCAAACTTATACAGAGAATAAATTGATGGTTACCAGATTGGAAGGGGATTGAAGGGATGAGTGAAAAACAGGGAAGGGATTAAGAAGTAGATTCCCAGATACAAAAACAGTCATAGGAATGTAAAGCACAGTATATAGTCAATAATATTGTAATAACCAGGTATGGTGTCGGATGGGTAGTAGACTTATGGAGGTGATCATTTTGTAAGTTATATAAATGTCTAATCACTATGTTATATACCTGAAACTAATATAGTACTGTTAGTCAACTGTAATTTTAAAAATAATTTAAAAAAAAAACACTCATAAGGAAAAAAAGATAGGGAATGTATGAAAATATAAATTTTTTTAAATGAAATGGAAATTCTAAAAATACAAAATATAGTATCTGAAATGAAACAGTTATAGATGATCTTAGCAGATCTAGGATGGCAGAGGCTTAAAAAAAAGTGAACTTGAGGATAGATCAATAGAACTTACCCATCTGAATGGCAGAGAAAAAACTTTTTAAGGACTCAAATCAACGATGGTGAGCAGAAGGAAGAGATAAACATTCAACCAGAACAGAATTAAGAAACAAGAATTCAAAAAAATGAGGAGAGGCTTAGGAACCTCTGGGACAACTTTAAAGAGCCTCAGAAACCTGTTACTTAAGATCAAATAATCTAACATGGGTATAATAGGGGTCCCAAGAGAGGAGAGAAAAAATGAAGCAGGTAAAATATTTTAAGAATTAATGGCTGAATTTTCCACAAATGTGATGAAAGACAAGTTTATGTAAAGCTTTGAGGTGTTCAGTGAGCAGCAAGCAGGATAAATAGAAGGCCTCATCATATCATAGTCAAGTTATTAAAGCCAAAGTTAAAGAACAAATCTTAAAAGCATCAAGAAAAAAGAAATATAATACACACAAGGGAACAACTATTTCATTTGTGGTCTACTTTTCATTAGGAACAGTGGAAGCCAGGAAAGGGCGGGGGGCGGGGGGACGTCATTATAGTTCTTCAAGTAGAAGAGGTGGGAAGAACTGTCAACCCAGAATTCTGTATCAAGTAAAAATATCCTTGAATAATGTTAAGTGAACTAGAGATATTTTCATATCAAGCAACCCTACACTATAACAAATAACATTGTCCTGAGGGATTTATTAAATACATCGATAGGGTACTCAAAATTAATAAAGGAGGTGAGAAAAAAACAGAGTATATGTTTACAGGAGTTTTATATTTTATATGCAGTGGTACAACATTAAGTAGCCTGACCCCATGGTTCCACTTCTGGGAATACAAGAAACCCAAAGCAGTAATTCAAAAGAATATATGCATCCTTTGTTCATTGCAGCATTATTTACAATAGCCAAGATTTGAAAGCAGCTCAAGTATCCATCAGAAGATCGAGTAGATTTAAAAAGTTGTGGTACATTACACAATGGAATAGTACTGTTATTTAAAAAAAAAGGAAATTGTAGCCTTTGCAACACCATGGATGGACCTAGAGAGTATGTTATGCTAAGTAAAACAAGCCAGTCAGAGAAAAACAAATACCATATGATCTCACTCATATGTGTAATCTAATGAGCAAAATAATTTAACAAACAAAATAGCAACAGAAGTGCAGATACATAGAACAGGTTGACAACCATCGGGGGATGGGAGGTGGCAGGCTAGTTGAAAAAGGTGAAGGGATTAAGAAAAAAAAAAAAATTAGATGCAAACAACAGTATGGTGATTACCAGAGGAAAAGGGGATTGGGGGGCAGGTAGAAGAAGGCAAAGGGGGATAGATGGTGATGGAAGGAGACTTGACTCGGGGTGATGAACACAAAATACAATATACAGATGATATATTATAGAATTATACTCCTGCCAGCCAAGATGGAGGCATAGGTAGATACACTTTGCCTCCTCTCACAACCAAAAGAAGGAAAACAAATTAAAAAACAAAAAATTACCAGAACTGCCAGAAAATTGAACTGTGTGGAAGTCTGACAGCCAAAGAGCTAAAGAAGAAACATTCATCCAGACTGGTAGGAGGGGCAGAGAAGACGCGCGGCAAGGCAGCGGCTGGAGGTCCAGGCAGACAAGGCAGCAGCTGGCTGACCAGGTGGTCCCATATTCATGTGTGGATAAACCATGAGGAACAGCTGGTGAGTGAGACAGACCGCGCAATCCAGGGTTCCAGTGCAGGAAAAGCAAGCCTCAAAACCTCTGGAGGTAAAAACCTGCGGGGGTTGTGGTGGCAGGAGAAACTCCCACCCTCACAGGGTTTGTTGGAGAAACCCACAGGGTCCTAGAAAATACACAAAGCCACCCACGCAGGAATCAGCACTAAAAGGACCCAATTTGCTTGTGGGTAGCAGGGGAAGTGACTGAAAGCCTTCCAAGAGCTGAGCAAGTGGCATTGTTCCCTTTCATACCCCTCCCCCACACACAGCATCACAACACAGCAACCTGAGTTGCCTGACCCTGGTGAATACCTAAGGCTCTGCTCCTCCCAACATAACAGGCCTACTGAGACAAAGAAATCTGGCCCAAATGAAAGAACAGGTCAAAGCTCCAAAAACAGAACTAAGAGATGAAGAGATAGCCAACCTATCAGATTCAGAGTTCAAAACACTGGTAGGAAGGATGCTCACTGAATTGGATGAGTATGGTCGCAAAATGGAGGAAAAAGTGAAGGCAATGCAAAGTGAAATAAAGAAAATTATACAGGGAACCAACAGTAAAGGGAAGGAAACCAGGACTCAAATCAACAATGGGGAGCAGAAGGAAGAGATAAACATTCAACCAGAACAGAGTTAAGAAACAAGAGTTCAAAAAAATGAGGAGAGGCTTAGAAACCTCTGGGACAACTTTAAATGTTCCAACATCTGAATCACAGGGGTGCCAGAAGGAGAAGAGAGAGAACAAGAAATTGAAAGCTTCTTTGAAAAAATAATGAAAGAATTTCCCAAATCTGGCCAAGGAAACAGACTTCCAGGAGATCCAGAAAGATCAGAGTCCCGAAGAAGGTGGACCCAAGGAAGCACACACCAAGGCACATCATAATTACATTACCCAAGATTAAAGATAAGGAGAGAATCTTAAAAACAGCAAGAGAAGACAGTTACCTACAAAGGAGTTCCCAAAAGACTGCCTGTTGATTTCTCAAAAGAAACTTTACACGCAAGAAGAGGCTGGAAAGAAGTATTCAAAGTCATGAAAGGCAAGGACCCACATCCAAGATTACTGTATTGGGCAAAGCTATCATTTAGAATGGAAGATTGATAAAGTGCTTCCCAGATAAGGTCAAGTTGAACAAGTTCATCATCACCAGGCCCTTATTAAATGAAATGTTAAAAGGATTTATCTAAGAAAAAGTAGAAGACCAAAAACTATGAACAGAAAAATGGCAGCAAACTCAAAACTTATCAACAACCGAACCTAAAAAAAAAACAAACAAACAACTAGAACAGGAACAGAATCATAGAAATGGAGATCAGAGGGGAGGAGGAAGAATGGGAAAAAAGGTAGAGGGAATAAGCAGCATAAATAGTAGGTAGAAAATAGGCAGGGGGAGGTTAAGAACAGTATAGGAAATGGATAAGCACTTGTATGTACGACCCATGGACATGAACTAAGGGGTGAGAGGTTAGTGCTGGGGGGAGTGGCGGTGGAGGGGAATAAAGGGGGAAAAAAATGGGACAACTGTAATAGCATAATCAATAAAATATATATTTTTAAAAAATTGTACTCCTGAAGCTATATGATTTTATTAACTACTATCACCCCAATAAATTCTATTTTAAAATTAAAAAATAATTTAAAAAATAAAAGTCAGTAGCTATGAAAAATTAAGGATGTGTATATATTTTTTTAACCTTCCACCAAAGATATGCATATTGATTTTAGCGAGAGATTGGGGGGGGGCGGGGAGAGCGCACACTATCCATCGATTGTCTCCCGTACACATCCCAAGTGGAGATTGATCCCACAACCCAGGTATGTGCCCTGGCTGGGAATCAAACCCACAATCTTTTGGTGTAAGGGACAATGCTCCAACCATCTAAGCCACCCAGCCAGGGCAAAGATGTATATTGTATTACTATACAGTAACCTAAGAAGTACAACTTTTAAAAAATAAAGTTAGAATTCAAAAAGTCTAAAATTCTTAAAAGGACATGAAAGGAGGAACAGAAAACAGGATAAATAGAAACAATACAATGGCAAATGTAAACTTAACCATATCAGTGATTACATAAGACACACTAGTAAACAATATAACTTAATTATAGAGATTATCAGAATGGATTTTAAAAAAGAACAGAATGAACTATATGCTCTGTGGTAGTTCTGCAAATTCTTTGATGTTCTCCCCTGGGTTGGACTTAGTGACCAGTTTCGAACAAACTGAATTAGCAGAAGTGATGGTATGTGACTTCTGAAACAAAGTGATAAAAACTATGTGAAAAAACCTTCCCGCCTTGCTCTCTCTCGGACTGCTGGCTGTGGGGAAAGCCAGCTATCACGCCACATGGACAGTCCAGCAGCTCTCAGAGAAGCCATACGGACACCCCCATCAACAATCAACACCAACTGGCCAATCACCTAGTGAGCCTAGCCTGGAGATGGCTGTAACCTGGTCAACACCTTGACTACAACCTCATGAAAGAGCCCAAACCCTAACTACCCATCTAAATCAATCCTAAATTTCTGTCTTACGGAAACTGAGATAATAATTGTTAATTGTTTTAAGCCACTAAGTGTTTTGGAAAATTTGTAATAGAACAATAGATAATGAATGTGTGCATCCTCAAGAAACATACTTTAAATTTTTTTATTTATTTTAGAGAGAGAGGAAGGAAAAGGGGAAACATCAATTTGTTGTTCCACTCATTTATGCATTCATTGGTTGATTCTTTTATGTGTCCTGACCAGGGATCAAACGTGCAACCTTGGCGTATCAGGACAATGCTCTACCCAACTGAGCTACCCCAACAAGGGCCTTACAAGAACCATACTTTAATGTTGAAAGGAAATGGTTGGGAAAAGATATACCATAAAAACAGTAAGGATAAGAAGTCTGTTGGAGCAAAGGATCTGAACAGACACATCACCAAAGATATACAGATAGCAAATAAGCACGTGGAAAGATGCTCAACATCAAGTCATTAAGGAAATAAATGCATGTTAACTTTACAGTGCAGTAGCACTACATACCTATTAGAGGTCTAAAATTAAAATGACCAACTGTACCAAATGTTGAAGAGAATGTAGAGCCACTGAAAACCTCATACATTGCTGGTGAAAATGTAAAATGGTGCAATTGCTTTGGAAAACAGCCATTTCTTAAAAAGTTACACACACCTACCCTATGATCCAGTCATTCCATTAGTGCCTTGGTATTTTACCCAAGAGAAAAGAAAGCGTATGTCTATACAATGTTCATAGCAGCTTTATCCTGGAATAGCCAAAGTCTGGAAACAACACAAACTTCTGTTTTGTACAGTAAAAAAAAAACTTCTCAGTGATAAAAAGGAATGAATCATTCCTGAGGTATAGCCTACAACATGGATAAAACACAAAATCATGTTAAATGAAAGAAGCCCACCCCCGCCACACACACACAAAATACATACTATATGAGTCTATTTACATGAAACTGTAGAAAATGTAAACTAATCTATAATAAAAGAAACCAAATCAGCATTACCTAGGGATGAAGGAAGAACTATCACAAAGGAGCATGAGGAAATTACAAGCAATGGAATATTCATTATCTCGATTTTGCTGATAGTTTTATATGGGTTTATATGTATGTCAAAACTTATCAAACTGTATACTTCATGTATCTGCAGCTTATTGTAAGGCAGGTTACTGCCAATAAAGCTTAAAAATATAGCATGGTCACCTTTATACATACTTTATATTTTTACCAAAATGCAAAAATGAATTAAAACATTTTTAAAAGGAAACATGAAAAGCCTTTCAAAATGCCATGTGTACCAGCTGTGACATTTTGCATAAATGGTTTAACTTCTCAGGGGGGACCTCAGTGTTTTCGAAATGATCAAATGACTGATTAGAACTAGATACTGTGTAAGGTTTCTTGAAGCTCCCAGGTGTATAACATTCCTGGGAGTGTAGGAAGGAAAGCTAATTATATTCTCCTTGATCATAGATCTCCCACACGCACAGTCAGCAAATGGACGACCTCTTTGATGTCCTCATCAAGAGCGGAGGTAGGTCACAGTCTTCTCATTCTAACTGAATTTACTGCTTTAAAATCTGTTAGATTTTGGCCATTAAAACAACTTACTTATAAATGGAAGAAAAGCCATTGTTTAATGTTAAAATAGTATGATAATGTTAGATTTATCCACAAATATATACCTGCTGAAAAAGACAAACCCTCTCAAAATAGCAAAGTAGAACCAGATTTAAATTCCACACTGAAAACTTCAAAACTTGTTCCATATGTTTTATGAGTCATTTCAATGGGATAAAAATATTCCAATTCATGAGTTAATTTTGTAACAACCAAATTACCAAGTTTGGGGTGTAGTAACTTTATGAATACTCAAAAGTAATTCTAAAACATTTTCTACATATAACTGAAAAATCTTAGATTTTACAGTGTCTCATCTTAAAAAGGGATAAAGGATATAAACCAAAGAAAGAAAATCAAGGATATCTCTGCCTCCATTTAAATATCTTTAAAAAGAAGTATAAAATAAATCAGTGCTTCAGAAATTCAAATGCTATTTTGGAATATTTTTAAGTATTCTTAAATTTCCCAGTGAAAGTAGTTTTAATCAGATTTTCACACAGTTATCAAAATTTCTCCATTCATGTCAAGTACTACTTGATTTTGATATTAGTGATCTTGTCAGAGTGTTTGGCATAATACAGAAAATTCTATGTGTGCGAATAGCAATTTTTTCAAACAACAATAGTGGCCTTGCAAAATATTTTAAAATCATGATATAGCTAAGCTATGGAAATTAGAGAAACAGACATCCCATGCCTTGAATTTAAAATTTTAAAAATCCTTTTTCCAAAATCTGGTGAAAATACTTTAAATGATTAAAAACAATAATTTTTATAGCCTAAACTTGGAGGTTAAAATATAACAAAGTTATCAAACAATGGTGTTATTTTCTAAAAGGAATGATGTTTTTCATGGCAAAGTATCTAATGAGTATATTTTTCATTTTATTGTAAACCAGCAGTTTTCAACCTTCTTCAGCTGACGGCACACACAAACTAATTACTAAAATTCTGTGCCACACCAAAAACTATGTTTTTTGCCAATCTGACAAAAAACATATAATTTTGATCCAGTCACACTGGACAACTATTACTGTATTGGCTGTTGTCATTTTTTTATTTGGTAATCTAAGGGAAAAGAGTTCAGTGCCCCTGACTAATCAGATATTGCATGTTTTAAAAATTCTTGCGGCACACCAGTTGAAAATTGCTGTTGTAACCTAATACCAACAATAATGAGAACAGAGATTTAAATAGCTGATTATGAGACTAGTTATTTAGATTGTACCTTCAGCTTTCAAAACAATTCTAGAGATGACTTAGAGATAACAAAGAGTAACAAACTGTCCTAAAAACACACTGTAAACACAGTTGGCAGTTTACAAAGAGGAAATCAGAGCATCACTATTTTTTCTCACCTATTTACGTATCTCAGTCATTGAGTTGTAAGAATTGTTACTGAGTCCATTTTTAATGTATCTGCAAAAAAATGAATCCAAATCAGATATTTCTAAGAGATACTTTTTAAAATATATGTAGCTAAGTAAACACTGGTATCTATAGCAGATGGTTGATTAATTTGCTTAATTTGCTACTTGACCTGGCAAGGAATAACACAATTAGTACTTCTTAAGACATTTACCAAATCCTCAAATGTTATATAAACTCAAAAAAGCAAGACCAAAAAAGTAAGAAAAGTACGGTGATCCTCATCTTAAATAAGGTCAAAAGATTCATGTGTTAGCTTTAATTCAGAAAAGACATAAGATGGCATGGTATCTTTTCAGAACTTTATATAAAATGTATATGGCTAAACTGGGCACACATTTATCAATTATATCGATAAAAAAGAAAAAGTAAAATTAGATCTTTTGTGATATTGAGGATGTACATTTCCTCCACACTGATTTTAGGGGTGGTGTGCTGCTGTGATAGCAGGTTCATGGTACAGAATAAGACGTAAGCCCTATCTTAAGCCTAAAATATAACTGAGAATAGAACCAAATGATCAAGTAATCTAAAACCATCAACTCCTTCCTGATGGGATACAATGGCTTTTAATCCTTACTCTTACTAAAAAGAATTCACATATCAGAATGTTATCAATGTAAATGTTTTTTTAACTAAAATAAAATGATACATCATCCTGAAGGTTATCACGGACCAATAGCTTTCTTTTCCTTTCTCTAGGATGGACTGAATTAAGTCACCACAAAATAGCAAAATAACTATCTTGGTCATTAATTAAAAGATAGTAGTAAATCTTTACTCACTAATTACTTATGTTATTTTACACAGAGATTTCCCTCCCTATAAAGGAAGAGCCTTCTCCTATTTCCAAAATGAGACCAGTGACAGCCAGCATTACCACAATGCCAGTCAACACAGTGGTGTCCCGGCCACCACCCCAAGTCCAAATGGCGCCACCTGTATCCTTAGAACCTATGACCAGTTTATCTGCCAGCTTAGAGAACCAACTAGAAGCTTTCTTGGATGGGACTTTACCTACAGCCAATGAAATTACCCCACTACAAAGCAGCAGTGAAGACAGAGAGCCCTTCTCTCTGATCGAGGATCTCCAGAATGATCTGCTGAGTCACCCCGGCGTGCTGGACCCCTCACACTCCCCCATGGAGACCGCCGAGGCCCAGTTTGCTGCAAGTACGCCCTGTCTGTCACTTGACCTCTCTGACTCAAACTTGGACAACATGGAGTGGTTAGACATTACTATGCCTAACACGTCATCGGGACTCACTCCTCTCAGCGCCACTGCCCCAAGTATGTTCTCTGCCGACTTTCTAGATCCACAGGACCTGCCATTGCCATGGGACTAACGTCACAGGCTCGTCGTCTCAGAGTTCATGAGGTTTAAGATGAAGATGAGTCAAAGGTCAGTTTTTAGAGACAGGTCCATAGCTGCATCATTGCAAATGGATAGATGGTCACAGCCTGGAAACCAAGTTTAAGAACATTTCATTGCATCCAGCAGTGAATGTCTGCAGTTAATATAGCACAGGGCCTTCTGAAAAATCACTAGTCAAAGAAGACTCATCTGTTTCTCCAGACTTCACTAAAGAAGGAAAAAGTACCTTTAGATTAAAACATGAGTAATGTGTACAGGATAACGACATGAGGATTCTCTGGTATCAACTACATTTAAACCTCTGTGGTCACTTTCAGGCCCTAAATAAAAAGCATACAGCTCTACTCAAAAAAGAATGCCGGCGCGAGGGAGGTGAGAGATCACTGCACGTGTGTTTCTGGAAATGGCCTGAGCCCCGCCCAAGGTGCAGCAGGGATCAAAGGCAGCGGACGGCACCAGCCAGTTCAGCGACAGCTCCAGCTGAAGACTTTTGGTTCCATTCAGAAACCAATGTAATTTTGTTGTGTTGTAGTTTATTTTGTGGTTTTTGGAATCTTACTTTAGATTTCCAAATTTAAATTTAAATGGAAGTTCTTTCACCATAACCAGACAATGTACTGTCATAAACAATCCCCTGTAAAAAGTCCAAGTCTATTGATATAACACTGAAAATTCTGTTAGCAGCCCTCTGGGTTGATTATATTGATTTAATGTATAAAGTAGACATTTATATGTACACTCTATGTTGGGATTTGTACAGCCTATATTGGGGTTAAATATTGGGTATCCAGTGGCCCTACTTCTTTTAATAACTCAAATATTTCTAGAGTACTTGAGCCACATGTATTTCTGTATTTTAAGAACTAACTTTCAGGTAACCAAACCCATCTCAAAGAACCAAGAAAAAACTTTAAGTGTAAAATATCTTCCTGAGCTGGTGAGTTACAAAGCGAAGGCAAGGGAGAAGTCTGTCATTCCCAGGAAATCCCCACAACGGTGACAGGTTAGACTGCCGCCGGGCTGGCCTCTGGCTCCAGCTCTGGCGGCCCTTTCCTCTCGCTCATCCTGGTCATCGTTTTACAGGTTGGAACTGGATGTCGCACCTGAGCTCTCACTACATTATCAAGCCGAAGATTGAAAAACTGGAGGTTTTATTAGTTTTTTATATAGATAAAAAGTTATCACATTTGTTAAGTAGTTTCTTAAGAGTTTTCTGAAATGCCAATTATCACAGGATTTCCAAAATGATTTCAAAATAGTTGTTTAAGTATATGACAAAATGTATATAACTTAAAAAAACAAAACAAAACTGAGGTCTACCAAAACAGTGTGGAGGTTTTTCTTAAATGTTATCAAGCTCTCCACCTCACTTGTATAATCCCGAGAATCAGGTTGCCTTTCTCTGGGTCGTTAAATAGTCACTGTTACAACAGTGACATGTACAGGCAACCTGACCCATTATTTAAAAGGAATTTGTGAATCATTTCTGGGTTTGTGTTTTGCCTAAGAGCTGGTATTATTTCAAATTTTTATTTCAGTTTATATATTTCACTACGTGTAAGAAAAGTCTGTTTTTCCAGAATTCAGTCCCCAGAACACTGGAGCCCTCTGTTAACTAGCACTTCCCACCTTGAAAGCGCTTCTGAACGGTTCCAGGCAGAGGCAGTGGCGCTCAGTGTGATCTGTGGTGAGTAGCCGAATTGTTCAGAAATTGGTAATCCAGCGCGTGGCGTCCAGACACTGCGACGTGACCAAGCCCAGCAAGAGTGTTACTGTCTTAGGCATGATGTGCATCTTCAAATCATTTCCTTTCAGAAGGGCCTGTCTCCTGGGACAGGGCAGGGCTAGTGACTTAGAAAGGTAATTTCTTAGGACAGGTCTTAGCATTGGATTTTTGTCTGGAGCTGATTTGGTCCATACTTGAACTCTAAACATCATCTTTATTCAGATTTAAGTGGCTTGTTAAAGTAGTACCAACTATCAGTGGGACTGTAGGAGGCAACTGAACAGCTAGTGCTATTGACTCTTGGTGAATAACTTTCTACTTTCATCTTTCCAAGTTGTGTACATAGATCACTTCCTAGCCCCCAAGTCCCCTTAATTGCTTCTTTAAAATAGGGTTTGAAACATGCCACAGGAAGGCTGCTCTCCAAAAACACATACTGCGGTGCAAAGAATGCCATCTCATCGGTCTGCTCTCTTTTGATTTTGTTGTTAATGTGCCCACTTTACATATGTGTTCAAACCTCTATGTACCGGCATCTCCTTTAAAAGGAAGGCAGGCAAGGAGTCTCTAGTTACAAAGTCTAGCTGCCGACTCGCCCATTCCACTGGGCCCTCCTGGCCTGGCCCGAGCAGCAAGCTGAGTGCCTGTGCTGCTCTCCAGGGTCCCAGCTACGTGTTCCAGATTAGAGTGAGGACACAGAAGATGTGCAACATGTGACGTGACCAAAGATGACACTCTGTAATCAAGGGTCCTTTGACCTAACTCAGTGTCCTTAAAGGTAAATGCAGTGGGAAAGGTGTGTGTTTACTAAAGAGGACTATTTTTATTGTTTGAGGTGAGTTTCACAACCGTGAAAGCCCGGGTCAGAATAGCCAGTTGGATTTTCAATATGCCTGTGTGCAGTTTAGAGGTGATCCTGCTGTGTATCTTCTTGCAGAATATCCCACTGCCAAGGAAACAATTCCTAAAAACAGATTATCTCACATGCAGTCTTATTTCCCTAAATATTCCTGAAACACAGTAGTATCAAGCCTACCTTTCTATTGTATGTAGGTATCAGGTCATGTCATTGGGGGTGGGATGCACGGAAAGTTATACCAAAGCTTCTACATAGTCTTTGGAAATCTAAGGGTATGTGGTCATCTTGTACATTTCAGCAAAGCATGTACTAGAAAACCTTAGAGACAGTGTTAGTGGTTCACATTCTAGTGTTTTTCCTGAAATGTGCAATCTACTGTATAGCATTTGCCACACATTTGTACATAGATGTATTCTGAATTCGTGGAATTTCTTGTTAAGACACTATCTGTGTTTGTTTTATATGAGTATTTTTATAATACTAAAAAGATCGTATTTAAATTTGCTTTTTAAAAACTGCACAGTTCTGTGACCCACGTCACTGATATTCTTGTAAGGGCAGTTGAAGAACGGGCAAAGGCGGTCTGGGGCTGCCTCCAAACTGATGCCTGTTGTAGGCAAAGTCCCGGTAACAGGATAGGGCCCCTGAACTGTGCAGTCAGCGGACACTGAGAGCCATATCAGGAGCGTTCCTCATTTTGTCACCAAAGCTGACTCAGGCTTCCTCTGCCCTCCACCCCAGATCATTCCAAGCCACATAGCTTTCTTCAGAGTCCTTGCAGAGCTACCAGGCTGAAACCCGCCACATCAGCTGACAAAACGGCCGTCCCATGCACACCACATGCTGTCCCTGTGGGCTACCTGGCACAGGCCTCACCCAGGCTGCTGTCGGTCAGCTGGCGACTTTCAGAGAACCTTAGGGAGAAGAGTTATTGGGTGTCTACCAGCAGAGCAGCACAGGTCCATTTAACCCCACTCACAAGTGACCCTCCGTTTCTGCTATCCATCACTGCAAACGTGAATCCTGGCTACGGGCAACGGAGCAGAATACCAGATTGTCCACTGCCCTGGAGGCCACAGAGTGAGCGCAAATGGTCAATAAATATTAACTGGAAGGTCAGGCTTATCAAGGAACACAGCTCACAAGTGCAGGCGTGTATTTGGAGAGCATCCTCGCTGCATTTCAGCTCATCTTTTAAGTGGCTTCAGTCAAAACTGGAAAATAATTCAGATGTAGTAATTCTTTTTCAGACTTTCGATACCTTGCTCACTGATCTTTCCGGGCTACATTTTTACGTGAAGTGACTCTGTCTGCATGGCAACATGTGTTTTCCCTGTTTACCCCTTCTTTCAGTATTTGAGGAAATGCATCATTGCAGAGGGTTTCTACCAGAAATCTGATCTGAGGCCTGTAATTCAAAAAGCTGCACATGTTTACAAAAGCTCTCTAACCCTCCACACAAACACATTGCTCTGTGAATCATTATTGAAAAAAAAAAAATCACAACTGTGTGACAACAGGATGGCAATCTCAGATCAACAAGGTGCTGTCTGGAATCAGATAAAATATGTCATTGGTGATATCGACCCAACTGTCGTGTTTAACAGAGCTTTGTGCCAACTACTAAGACAAAGCTTTAACCAAGTTCATAGAATCACTGAGACTCGTAACAGTTACCTCTCTACATTATGCTGTAAGAAAACTTGCTGATTTGGTAGGAGAAAGAAGCATTTAGGAAAGGGTTTAGTATCTACCAAAAGTACTTAACCTCAAGTAACCAGTAGTAATGCAAACTTGCTTTAAAGGAACCAAAGGCATTGCCAAGTATTTGCCAAAACGAGGCACTTTTTATTTAAAATTTGAGACTAATGAGTTCTCAAAAATCAGTCCCAAAAAGGTATTATCCATTTAAGGTTATAATTTTCACAAAGGTGTAGATATTTCTGTAGTGTTTTCATGTAAAATAGTATAGATTTGTTTTGTTGGTTTAGGAATAGTACACATTTAGTAGTAATACAAAGTTTTTTCCTTCCTACATACAAATTAATTTTCTTCTTGCTTGCAATAGAAATGCAACGTGATAGGTGTTTCTCTTCTTATTTTCATTGTCACACTATGTCTTAGCATCTCACTTTATGAAAAAAAGGAGAAAGATACCAATCTACAGAGCCCTGCTTATTAAAGTACTCGTTTAAGAAACAAAAAAATTATGGCAATCGGGGGTCCATTCATGTATTGCCTTTATGTTGTTTTTTAAAAGAAAAACCGTGATGCCTTTGTATTTGCTGTTTGCACCCCTGAAATCAATTCCATATCATGTTTGAATGCCATACATTTTGCACATGTACTGTACATAGGGAACGCATACTGTATTTTTATATGTGTGCACATTTATCATCAGATCTTTTGTACATAGTGGCAGTATTGTAGCGGATCGGAAAATGTTTGATATCTCAGCAATTTTGCATTTTTGTGTCTCAAATAAAAAGCATTTTGATGTATTATGATTCTTGCTATGCAGAGAAAAGACTGCCTTATGGGTCAAGAGAGTGATTGTAGACCAGTGTGGGGATGGGATTTGGGAGGAGACACCACCTTCAGAACACATGTCACAGCGGGCAGTCACCACACAAAACAAGTGCATTCATCAGGGCGGGTTTTGTAAATCACACATTGAGTGAGCCACCTTCCCCTAGGCCCAGGACCAGGGATATAGAATAGAAAAGGTACTAGCTGAACTTGAACATGAAAAGATTTACAGCAAAATCATGCTTATTCTTCCACATAAGGAAGACACTGAATGAAAGACCTAATAAATATGTAGTTCCCCCTGGGGTTTGATAGAGACATACATACACAGTGAGAATTCAACTCTTTGATCGTAATTGCACCTCCAACAAAATTCCTAGAAAACCCAGGTAATCCTTCAACTTAGCCAAATTTCAAAAGCAACTCTTTATGTAAGGTGTTTTTATAGAGCATATAAAATGGTCTTTAGACTTCAACATTATTTTGGTAAGATGGCATTTAATTTTCAATTCAAAAGCCCATGGTTAAAATAGTTTTGAGGAGAACAGCGTTGTATTTTCTACCTTGTTTTGACAAAATAATAGTAGAGAGCAAACCTGACTGGCAACCATAACTTTCACATCACTATCTGATTAGGAAAATGGGTGGAGTATCAACCACAGGAAGAGGGAAACAAATCACTGATTGCCAAAATACAACAAAATGTTCGTTATTTGTGACATTTAGAGGTCGAGCGAGCAGCGACCAGTAGGTAGATGATGCTTTCAAGGAGCTAACACATTTGTGATGTCACGTATTACCAGCCAAGATCCTGCCCTCAGGGATAAAAAATGTGGACCTGACTCAAGTGAGAGAGAATGATGCTGGAAGGAGCTCAGACAGGGACTGAGGTGGAGGATATGGTGTTGGGACCTAGAGAGGACATTCCAGGCAGAGAGAGGAGCTTGGGCGAGGGCAAAGTTAACCAGTCTGCCAGGCCGCGGGCCAGACGCTGAGTGCGGCTGCAGGATGGAGTCCACGCAGGGAGCGCTGAGACAGTCTGGAAAGGTAGGCGACAGCTGGGCAGCCAAGGACCCCAGTCCTTGGAGGGTTTAGGATCTTCTGCAGATAATTGTTTACGTTGAATAATATAAGGCCTTCGAAAGCTTTTCAGATATTTGACACAGTCATCATTTAGCATCTTTATAACCCTCTCCAGCAATCTGCTCTAGAATTGAGGTGAATACCAAAGCATTTGTAAATGCAAGGCACACACTTAGTGAGAGCTGAAATGAATGACAGCTGCGCCACATTACAATAAAAGAGAAGACCAACTTCAGGATAGATGTAAACAAATGTCATCAACCATTTCATGTGTTGTATAATCCCGAAGATTTCCCAAGTCACCGAATGACCATGCCTTCATTCCTCCTACAAATAGCTTATCTTCCATTTCTGATGGGTATTAACTTTCAGAAAGAAAGCCTCATCCTGATATCCTGGCTCTTCTGCTAATTTTATGACAAGTTATTAAAACAGCCTACATGGTATAATTAGACAAAAAAAAAAAAAAACACATCACCTTTTTGAATTCCTCTCCTGGATATGATTGTGAGAGATCATTCCAGGTGCGGGTGGTAAGTAACTCCAGTGTGCTCGCTCCTGCTATGCTACAGACAAGAGACTCAAAAGCATTCAAATGCTGGCATTGTCCTGTCCAAAACTGAAGTTTTTGATTGACGGTAAGGAGGGAGGGGTTTTTATCCAGGTTGATAGCTAAGAATTTAAAATGTTTCCCATCAGAAAGCTTTGCTGCGCTTTCTCACCCACAGCTGGATGGAGTCTGGGTAACACTAAACAGAACAGCAAATGAAGCTGTTGGCATGTGAATTTCTCTAGACAAACAGTGAGGTTACAGTGGTTTTGTTACAACACTTCTTTAAGCACTAGAAAAGGTCTGCAAAGCTATTTAAACAAGAATCCTTATTTTATTTAGTTGAGTTGTTTGGAAAGCTGACCAGGACATCACATTCACTAGAGATACAGAAGCTACAACAGGAAGTACAACCAAAAGCTTACCCTTCTCCCCACGCTGCAGGTACACAATGCCAAGGAACGGGAATGAGGCTGAAGGCAGAATGATAAAATAACAACAAACTTATTATGTGCTCCTAGATGCCAGGCCCCGCACCAAACACTTTATATGCATAACATCATTAGGCTATAAGTCTATGAACTAGGAAGTCTTAATCCCATTTTACAGATGTGGCAACTAAGGACACATGAGAATGACTTGCTTGAAATTACAAAGGAAGAAGAGCATGAATTTGAGATCAAACTCTGACACCCCTGGACCCAGACCATTTCCCTAGACTCAGTACACGCAACTCTCCATCTTCGTTCAAAGACATTACGAATTAACTGACTGGCTGACTTAATTCATGTCAATCATGAAGTTCAGCCCAACTGGATGTCTCCCCAGTCTCCTCAATCTCACACGTTTTAGAAAGTAACTACTCACACAGATGGTAAAAAGCATCCACAATTACAGCTGGGTTAGAAGACCAAGGCACCTTAAATGAACCCCACTGACCAGGCCACACACAATCACTCATTATGAAACTGCCCATCTAGGCTGGGACTTCCGTAGCCACCTGAAGCAAACCCAAAGCCCTAGAGTCATAGAATAGTTTTACAGTATCTAGAAAAGAAGATGCAAGTTCTGCAACAGCAACACAACTTTTTTGGTGCACATCCTTGAGAAACACATGTGCACACAGGCAATCACTTGCACGAATTAACACTAAGGCATTTATAAAGAAAACATTGAAAACAACCCATCTGCCTTTCATTTGGAGAACATTCAAACAGCAATTAACATAAAGGAACTAAAGCCAATTATGACAATGTAAAGGAATCTTGAAATAAAATGAGGAGAAGAAACAGAGTGAAGCCTACATAATACAAATAACGTTTTAAAACATTAATGCATATTTTTCTATACATAAAGATATAAATGTAAGGACTCATGTCAATAGCAAGATTCACGATACTTCTGAAAAGAAAGGGAAAGTGAGCTTTAGTTAACAAAATTTTATTTCTGCAATTTCTTCTATATTTTATTTCCTAGTATTTCTTTGTAATTTGATAGCCATCTAGAAAAATACTAACAAACATTTATTTAATGGCAGTTGATTTCTTTATTCTCCCCCCATTATTTTCAGTGAGTTAGGAACATTTCATGTAAAAAAAGATTAGTTTAAAAGTAGAAAGAATGACAAGGGAAATCCATTAACAACTACATAATAAATTAGTTAACTAAGATAAATCAGTCAGATTCCTTGAAAGATACAAACTACCAAAAATTGAATCAACAAGAAATAGAATATTTGACTAGACTTATAACAAGTAAAGAAACAGAATCAGTAATTTTAAAAACTACCAAGAAAGAAGAACCCAGTCCCAGAGAGCTTCACTGTTTTGGTGAATTCTAATGTTTAGTGAATTCTACCAAACATTTAAGAAAGAATACCAATTTTTACAAACTCTTTGATAAAAATAGACTGAGAATACTTCTCAACTCATTCAATAAGCCAGTATTACCCTGATACCAATACCACACAAAGACATCACAAAGGAAAAAAGGGCCAAAATTTCTAATGAATATAAAGACAAAAATTCTAAACAAAATTCTATCAAACTGAGTCCAGCAACATACAGAAAGTATTATACACCATGACAAGTGGAGTTTATCCCAGGACTGCAAAGTTAATCTAACACCTGAAAGTCAATTAATGTAATGCAAAATATCAACAGAATAAGAAACAAAAGCTGCATAATCATCCCAATAGATTCAGGAGAATTTGACAAAAATCACACACCCCTGATTCTAATCACAAACCTATAGTAGATACACAAAAGATAAAGAAATCAAAACATACTGCAACACCAACAAAAAATCATCACACCACAAAGGAAGATAAAAAGGGACAAAAGAACTACTTAACATTCAGAAAACAATGAATAAAATGGAAATAGTAAGTCCTTATCAATAATTAAATTCTCCAAGTGAAAAGACACACAGTAGCTGAATGGATTAAAAAACAGGATCCAATCAGGAGATTTCCCCTGAGGAATAAGAGGTCCCGGCCCCACACCAGGCCCCCCAGCCCAGGGTTCCAGCACCAGGAAGAGAAATCCCCAGAGCTTCTGGCTGTACAAACCCATGGAGATTTTGGCTGAGTGAAATGGAGGGCTGCTTGCTGTACTTTCCTCAGATCTCTCAGACAAGTAGCATCTGGCCTCGGTGTGCCCCATACCTTTTGCTAAGAGGCCCCAGGCCTGGCACCAGCAGCAGCCAGCCTTGGTTCATAGCATGGCCTCTCCCAGGCACCTCCAAGCCCAGCAGACGTAACCATCATCTGCAGATCACTTTATACTCTATGCTGGGTAGCCCAGGACAGGGCACAGGCAGTGACTGAACTTGGTCTGCCCCTCCTGAGGAAGCCCCAGAGCCAGCAAACCCAGTGGACAGCTTCAGACCGCAAGGAAGCACCACCCGACCACTCCACAAGTGACATACTCAAACGGCAGGTTCAGCAGGCATCAGAGCCCTGCTGAAGTCAATCCTGCTTCATGGGTCAGCCCCTGCACAGCAGATGCTCCACGGTGGCCGGCCTCACAGCCAATCCGCCTGGAGATAAACCCTTCCCACAGACGTGACAAAGCAGTCAAGGCTCAGTAACAACCAGAGGGTTACACTGTGCACATGGGGGAGGGGGTCACACCTGGCACACTCTGATCCAAGTGACCAGGGAGGATGCACCACTGGACCCTACAGGACATCTATATTAGGCCACTCTACCAAGCCCGGCAGATGTAGCATCTCTGCCTAATACAAAGAAACAAACACAAGGAGGCTGCCAAAAGAAGGAGACAGAGACACATGACCCAAATGAAAGAACAGAACAAAACTCCAGAAAAAGAGCTAAACAAAATGAGAACAAGAAATCTACCAGACGTGGAGTTCAAAACACTGGCCATAAGGATGTTCAATGAACTTAGGGGAAGAGCAGATGAGCTTCGTGAGAGCTTCAACAAAAAGGTAGAAAACATAAAAACAACTAGAAAATATAAAAAGAACCAGTTAGAAATGAACAATAATCAAAATAAAGAATACATTACAGGGAATCAACAG